CTAAAAAGGTGTTGGTACCACTAGGTGTCTAAAAAGGTGTTGGTACTCACCACAAGGTGTCTAAAAAGGTGCTTGTACTCACCACTAGGTGTCTAAAAAGGTGTTGGTACTCACCACTAGGTGTCTAAAAAGGTGTTGGTACTCACCACAAGGTGTCTAAAAAGGTGCTTGTACTCACCACTAGGTGTCTAAAAAGGTGTTGGTACTCACCACTAGGTGTCTAAAAAGGTGTTGGTACTCACCACAAGGTGTCTGAAAAGATGTTTGTACTCACCACTAGGTGTCTAAAAAGGTGTTGATACTCACCACAAGGTGTCTAAAAAGGTGTTGGTACTCACCACAAGGTGTCTGAAAAGGTGTTTGTACTCACCACTAGGTGTCTAAAAAGGTGTTGGTACTCACCACTAGGTGTCTAAAAAGGTGTTGGTACTCACCACAAGGTGTCTAAAAAGGTGTTTGTACTCACCACTAGGTGTCTAAAAAAGGTGTTGGTACTCACCACAAGGTGTCTGAAAAGGTGTTTGTACTCACCACTAGGTGTCTAAAAGGGTGTTGATACTCACCACAAGGTGTCTGAAAAGGTGTTGGTACTCACCACAAGGTGTCTAAAAGGTGTTGATACTCACCACAAGGTGTCTAAAAGGTGTTGGTACTCACCACAAGGTGTTTATCATATTTCTCCCCCCAAGAGAATTGTTTGTTGTGATCTGCTCGTTTGTTTAGCATGGAGAATAATATGTCTTCTGGCATACTAAGTTGATGAGTTAGTTGTGAATTTATTTGTCGCCCTTTAACTATGTTTAAGAGATTTGTTTTTTAAAACATTGGTTTCTGGAAAGCTGGGCAGAAGCTGACCTCCGCGAAGATGGATACAGGAGATTGAAGATGCATTGGCTATAAAAGCAAACAGGGCTGGGGATTGCTGATCTGTCAGTGCCCATATACAGTGTCTACAACAGTGACTCTGAACCCTTCTAATGCCGCACCCTCCGATATGTCAGGAGCTTTCTCAGGGACCGTACTTTTTCAGTGGCAGTGAACAACGAAGTCTCTAGGGCTCGCATACAGGAGAACGGCACCCCGCAGGGGGGCAGTTATCTCCCCCCTCATCTTTAACATCTTAGTCAACGACATGAGGGAGGCGATTGAGAACCCTGAGGTGCAACTATCCCAATTTGCCGACGACAGTGCTCTGTATTACAGTAACACAGGCACTAGAACCACCCGCAACACGCTGCAGAAAGAAATCCTCAACATAACAGACTGGATGACGAAATGAGGGTTTAAGATCAACGTGGCCAAGTCGGTCATGATGATCTTCAATTACAAAAGAGTCAAAAGTTATAACCCCGATGAAAGCCGCATCATCATCAACATCCAGTAGTTTGCCATTGCTTGCTGGACGGTCTGCCCCTGATACCGCAGTCAAAACCAATGCATGGCAGGCAGCTGGGATCAAACCCGGCACCCCACCATTACCAAGAGTTCGCATCGACTTAGCCACAGAGCCAACATAAGAATCTAGCAGAAGCAAATTCCTGGGTAAAAACCCACCCACACTGGATTACAGGTTACTTGGTAACCATTTTGTGGTGCTCCAATGTAACTGTGCTATATGGCTGTACGGTGAACGTGGTTTCCGGGATTTGTATCTGTTTAATTCTCATCATTCAGATGTTAATCCTACAGACCGCAGTCCTTGGGGGGGGGGGGGGGGGAACTTAAAGGCTAATAATAAAACTAATTCCAGCAACCCTGTTCAACCGTATAACAGTTATGTAAGGGCACTCGACATTTACAAAGTAGCCTGCAGTTCTATGGCGGGTGAGACTGTGTGACGTAAGGATTACAACAGAAATATTTTGTTAAGGGTAGATAGTAAAATTGTGCCAAAAGAATTATCACATGCACACAGGAACTCGTGTTTATTTTGCTACTATCCAGAAGTGCTGGGGATTTTAATTCACTGCCTTAGAATCGAGAAAGTTATATCTTTCAGTCTATCGTGTGCTGGAGACTTTGAGCACCAGCAACAGAATTGCATTTAATTGAGAACTAGTTAAACAATGAAACCTTTTTTTTTAAGGACATTTTGTCGCAACTGCCCTTACATGATCCCCAAAGGACAGGCTTCCATCGAAAGTGATACCCAAGTACCTCAGTCTGCTTTCGCTTCTGATGCTCCAATCACAGTTGCCTGTGTAGCTCCTGAGCTGTCTACTGTCTATAGCCCCTGCTTATATGCAAGAACATCATCTGCACTTGCCAATATCATTCCAACGCCTGGTGTTCAAGTTCTGCAATACTGCGTACTTATACCCAGGCATAGGACAATCATTCGTTAATGTAGGGCAGGTGCTACCAGGTTCACCAGCAAGTGACAGGCTCCCTTCTACGCGAATGCAGACATCAGTATGTCATGTCTGACTCCATTGTAGGCATCCTTAAGATCAAATGCTGCTACCACTGTCTTCTGGCTGTTCTGGAACCCTTCATAAACATCAAACTTAAAAATGGCTGCATTACACCAGTTATCTTTCTCTGGCCGGTAAATACCCAGACCTCTTGCTATCCTGAAACTGTTGCATCTCAGACGATCTCTGTTGCTTGCTTCTTGTAAAAGAAAAAGATAATTCGATCTCATTCAGACTTTTTCAGCTATGTAGCTGATGCCTATAGTTGCGATCTTTATTGAGTATGGCTTGTTTGAATGTGGTTTCCTTTGGTTCCATTTTGTTGTGTTGTTCTAAACGGTTTAATTGATGTTGCTTCTTCCTTGTATAGAGTTGTTTTGTACCTGATGCTGTTGTATCCGGAGGCAAGGGTCTTCTATTTCTTTATTGTGTCATTTTGTTTCGTTCCTGATTATGTCAAGTTTTGGAGCTGGATTAAATAGCTGTACACCCGTCATGGGGTACTGACAATCTCCCCCAAGTCTTCATCATTCATGCTCTTCATGTGGGCATCCCTGACCCCGTCTGGTTCCGGTGCAGTGACTTCTGATCATAAGGATCAGTTTGTGCAATAAATCTCAGCAAAAATTCTTTGGCTTAATTTTTTTTGTCACAGTGCATACTGTTATCTGCGCACAAAATGTTTGTTATTGTCCAATCCTCAAAAAGAAGACAGGTGAAAATTAACCACATGTGAAATGACATGTTTTGAGATGACTGCCAACAAAATCATAAGAGATCGTGTGAGAAATTAAGACATTTGGAAAACTGTTGGAAGAATACCCTCGTTATATTTATCGAGACACAAAGACTGAAATAGTTCGGTCAACTAGGGAGAATTAACTCAATGATGCCAGGAGCGAGAGAGTACAACATAAAAATAGAAACAACCAGAATTTACCAGAGGGAGAGAGAGCTAGAAAAATATGGATCGGAGAAGCCACTGGCAGAGTAAGACCTCAACACAACCCCCTCTACGAGAGGTCACGGACCTCAGCGTCACATAATTCCAAGCAATAGAACATGCCCTGGCTCGGCCACCTCTCATCAGTTAAACTGCGACTCCTAGTGTCACAGAATAAATGCGCGTAGTTACAAAGGAAATAAAGACGACCTACAGACATGGCCAAATTTAGACTTGATAAGACCCCAAGTATTACTGTCGCTCTAGACAAAGGTTCGTGAAGTCAAATTATATAGAAACCGTCGTATTTTGAAAGGAAAGATAGAAAAGGACAAGAAAAGAACGTTCGTAGCAGCATTTTATCTTGACACAGAAGAGTCTACACGGTGCTGTTGAAGATCTCAGAATGTGAAGCATTTTTGTCAACACCAGTCGGCAGGGCACTAAATGACATACACATAAATAAACAGACCTGGGGATTGGTGGGGCGGGGGGACGCTTGAAGCTGTAGAGATATTATATAAAATAAACACACACACCTGTATTGATAAGCACTCATAGAAAAAAAAATTAAGTTGTCAGGTGTGTCATTCAATCTTTATTTTTAAATAAATACTTATTTGTTCGTTTATTACACATAATAACTTAACGACGATGTTAATTTATGACAGGCTGCAGTAAACTTATGGCAATATAAAATATGTTGGGTATCGACGGCATTAGAAAATTACAGGGAAGGATTATACACACATTACGACACGAAAGGTTTGCAAATAAAGTGTTACTATTGAGTGACGTCCAACACCGTCACAACCGCACACAACGAGCAATTAACACCCGGTGACACAAAGTGCAATTCTGATACTTATCATACGATAAGCATCTACAGTTTACATTATTTATATGTTGATAAGTAAGATCCCTGTTAGTTAGTTGGGTTATCATCATTGCAGTCCTTACATGTCCATAGGTGCTTAGATCATCCCCTCAATATGAACCCCAACGTCCGATGGCAAATAGTACCAGTTCTATGTTGATTAACAATTTCTGGCGTGTCTGGTGTGGGTTTCGTTTTTTGATATGCCGATCTTAATTCCCAAGTCTGCCATTCTGCCCCCAAAGTCCTCTATCCTTCCTATTTCTCTGAGGGCATTAATAATATCAGCATGATCCATAGGCTGACCGTCGGTAGTGATAGCGGATCCAGCCAACCTGTCAGCTCTTTCATTTCCATCGACGCCTGCATATCCCGGAACACAAAATAAAGGTGACTTCTGTAATGATTCAAGCCAATGTCTTCGCACCGAACCTGCCTGAACCCTCTGGATCATACTCATTGAATCACTGAGTATACATATGCGGGTGTACTGTATTTTTGTGTTTCGATCCAGGCGAACGCTTGTTGTGTTGAGCTCTATTTTAGAAAAAGGATAGAATACTTTGTCAAGTATTTTGTAAAAGGCGACAGATTAAGGTCTCGCCGAAAACGTATGCGTTGCGTGCAGATGTCGCAGTCTAGCTGAGGACCACAACACAAAGTCGCAGTTACAGGGGAGCAAGTAAAAAGAATAATTAAGAAAGATGGGCCAACCAGCAGGAATGAATGAATGAGCGGAAGTTTGGCAAAGGTCAAGGATACCAATATGGCGTTCCTACAGGTAGGTGGAGTTTTCAATGAAAGCATAACACAGACCGCTTGCTAAAATCAAAACATCGACTACGACACACCTATTAATAAGATTTTATGTAACGTTGAGTAGTAATAATAAGTTGATGTGTTGTGTGTGGTAATGCAAGCAGTGGGGTACAAAGAAATGATAGAGTAGATCAGTAGAGAGTTCAGTGAAGTGTGGAGTGTGGAGAGATCTCTTCTCTCATCGCTGAAAGTGAAAGAAACGATCTATCTGGGTAGTTATCAGTTATCTTCTTGATCACGGATCACCCAGTTCGAGCCAAACAAACAGATCCTCCTGTCATTTACTGTGACTGTCATTTATTTACGATTAACCGATTCTTTTTACAATTTGTTGTCTTCTTCGATCCTTCTGTCAGAAAACCAATATCAGGAGGCCGGTAGCCTTTATATTTTGTTGGTATGTATTACCTAGCAGTTTTGATTTTTTTTTTTTTAAAAATTGAAACCGTCATTATCTCTGTTAGTTAAAAGTAACACACATTGTGTTGTGATTGATACTTTTCGGCTCTCCTCCGAACTTTGTCCCCATATTATGGCGGCCAAAACAAATACTCGGCTCTCCTCCGAACTTCTATCCAATATTATGGCTGCCAAATACCATAACAGGGCCTCAGTCCTATGCAAAATGCGGAGTTCCTGGCTAGGAACAAATCGCTGCAAAACTAGGATCGGCTCCAAAAAACGAAATAAATGCTTTAACAAGGTCTCAGCGATATGTTAATTGCGGACCTGTTTTTGCGACTATGCCGCATCGCCGACAGTATCCCCCGCCCTGCTACGCGTGGCACAGATGGGGGGATAAACCAGATGGCTGGGACTCACGACCAGCAGCTACCGCATCTCCTGCAACTTCCTTCAGTTTATTTGCTCATGAGTCCCAGCCATCTAGTTTAGCCCCCCATCCGCGCCGCGCATAGCAGCGCGGGGGATACTGTCGGTGGTGCAGCATAGTCGCAGAAACAGGTACGCAATTAACATACCGCTGAGACCCTGTTAGAGAATTTGTTTGCCGTCGATATTGGCCCGTTATTCGGAGGCAGTACTAGTTTTGCCGCAATTTGTTCCTCGGCAGGTACTCCGCATTTTACACAAGACTGGGGCCCTGTTAGGGTATTTGTTTGGCAGCCATAATATGGGGACGAAGTTTGGAGGAGAGCCTAATTTTCTTATAACAGCAACTTTACAAATTCTAGTTTAGTGTAACTTGTATGCAAAATACAGACCGATATGTAACGGATTCACAGAACATGCTTCTAAAATAAAAAGAAGGGACATTCTGTGCATAGAGTGGCTTAAATTGAATGATAACACTCAGGTCCGGAGCATATCTTGGATTTTCTCTCCAGGATATTCAGGTTTGCGGGGTAATGAGCAGGCTGATACATTGGCAGCTACCACTCCTCTGGGTTGTGAGCTACTTTATGATAAAGATGATGTGGTTAAGGCTCTGAGGGATCAAGCGAGGGTGAGCAGAGGTTCTAGAACATATTAAACACTAGGGATAGGGCAAATAGGCACATTTTGAATCAGGTTGCATCTGGTACTGTTAGCATGGGAGCTCTTTGTTGGCTACTGAGGAAGGGGATGGCAATATGGCAATTTTCTGATTGAATTGATGTAAATTCTTGATTGATTCATGCATTTTGTGAGTACACATTCGAATAACAAATTGTTTCTGGGGAAAACTGATCTTTGCACATGAAACTAAAATACAAATGATTAAATTAAGATCTTGCTAGTTGCTGTGATTTCTATGTCCACCTGTAGCACACTATAACACTATCGTCTGGACAGAGGGAAAGCTGCCAACATAATAGAATTTTAGAGAAACCAAAAAAGGAGGGGATGGATTAATGAATAATTTTCTGCCAGAAAACATCTGTTTAGGAGAGGATTAAGTGAAAAGTGTGACTGACTGGTATACTAGTGAAGGTAGATGATTGTCAGTTGCTGGTTACATATTGAAAAACCTGAAAAGAGACAGCTAAAGTATTTTGAACCTATAAAATAAGGCATTCTTATGGGAACCATGCTTGGGCAAGGGAAGAAAGGCAGGGGCAGATGGGAGGATGGCATCGGGAGGTTGATGAATGGAACTTTGCCAGCATTTACTAGCATAACAAAAGACAGACTGTTTGATGGGATTATGGCAGCTGCTGTTCAATAAGGGACTCATTGTTTGATTGTATTTTTATTCTCTTTTCTATCTGTCTGTTTGTTACCTAATCCACATTGGATGCATTAAAAAAAAAAAAATTAACTTACAGTTGCATCATACATTAATTGCTTATTCAGTATTTTGATATACTTTCCTCAGTGACTCTGTTGCATCCAAATGTGACATTAACCAACTCAACTCTGTCTTATTTGTCTATTTAACCTTACTGCACCATAGAACTATTATTAAGTCCTATAGATTCCAACATTTATTATTAAACATAACATCTGCTTAAGATCAAATGAGTTAAAATAACATCTCCCTAGTTCTAAAGGAGTTAAGGTAGATGTAGGGTGGCCTAAGCTTGGGTTACAAGGCTAGAGGTCTTGCCTTTTTTGCCATTACTTTGTCTGTTTAGTGCAGATCTATTTAACTCAGTTTACACAGAGGCCAAAAGGATGAAAATGGTGAATTGTCACAGAGCAGAGACTCGAGCTGCAGCATAAAAAGATCATTAGTGGCCAGTGATCTGCACCACTTGCTTGCCCTGTGCGGGTGGATTAGGCCCACCGGCCACTAGTTGAGTAGTTCAGATTTAGTGTATCACTAAGGTTCCTGGTCATCCTCAGACTGTAACCATATCGAAAGAACGAAAGCTCCTAACAGTACTAATTTGTTTTCATTTTCTTTGTAAATTTTATTGACATAGTTTGAAATGTATTCCTCTGGTGCAGTTTTCATTAAAATTGTTTTCTTTATTTAAAATCAGTGGAGGAGATTCAATTTCTTTGACAAAGAAGCTGTAAAGGATCCAGCAACTGATCAAGTGTTTGATCAGCTGAAGGTAACGCTGTTTTTTTTGGTTGTAATTTTTTTGTGAATTTTGTTTGTAATTTTGACTAAAAGAATCTGTAGCCAAAAGCAATTCATTCCTAAATTATTCTCAACAGTATTATATACCTTGAATGAATGAAAAATTGACATAACTTCTTTTGTGTGTGTGTGTGCGTGCGTGCATACGTGTGTGTGTAAATTTTGCCCTTTATCATCAGGTCTTGAAAAAAAAAGGCGTCTGGTACGAGTCTTTGTTTGTGCTACAAAGATGCTGGTATTCACAGCCTCAGATATTCCATCTGTCCATCACTTGTGTGGGCAACCTCTAGGTCTACTTCGGTTGACGTCACTGCATTCAGAACAATCCCACGTGTAGTCGGTCAACTTCCTCAGTTGCCAGTGAAGAGTTCCCTTAATGATGGTGCCAGCTGGCACCTGATTAAAAGTCTTTTTTTTTTTTACCCTACTGACTGAAAATCATCTAGGCCCTGTGCTCACTCCCAGCTGAATCATGCAGTTACTCTGTTCTGGTGCACTGTCTGTCTCCTTCATCTCAGAGAGCCTTCACTATGTACCTTTGAACTTCAGAACTTGTTGGGTCAAAAACTGCCCTGAAAGGTACATTTTGTGACCTAAGAGAACAGTTCTACCTGGCAAGAAGCAAATCTTTAAGTGTAGTTTAATTCCAAACAGTAAATAAAAGACCCTCTTCCACACACTTAGGTGTTTTGGATATATAGTGCTAGACCTGTATTTTATAGACTAATTGACACTTGGTTGGTGATGTGGTCAGCATCACGCTGCTGCTTTTACTTCCCAAGACTTTACCTGGTAGACATTTTAGACTGGATTAGCCTGGGAGCCAAGGTCATTTTTTGAAGAAAAAAATCAGACTGGATGCTGATTCGAACTTATAACCTTGGGCCCACAGTTGAGCATCTAGCCGCCATGCTATGGCAGCTCCCACTTCCAAGTAGACAAAGATATTTTTGTTGCAAATTAATATAAATTGTGTTAATTGGTCAGCTGTTTTCCGTTTCTAACTGCCGCCTGATTTTTAACATGCTCACGGATTCTCCTATTTGTTCACTCTTATCTGAGAAGGCTGGATGTCTAAATCACTACTTAAGGATTAAAGGAAAGTATATCATGCAGTAAATACAACATTAAGATCAAAACCGAAACGATGCAAGTTAGTAGAACCCCTGCCCCTACACATACAGTTAAATGGTTCTGCTCTGAATCAAGTTTAAATATCTAGGAAGTATGATCACAGAAGATGGTAGAATTGACAGAGAAATAGAAACCAGATGTCAGAAAGCAAGTGGACTTATATACCGATTGTCACCATTATTAAGACATCCAAGCATAACTTTGAGTGCAAAGAGACAGATTATTAACAGCATATTCATTCCAGCGTTAAGCTACCAGTGCCAAACATGGACACTGTCTAAAGCCCATATAAGCAAAATCACCACCTGCAAAATGGGGTGCCTGAGAAAAGCAGTCAACCTAACCATCCAAGATCGAGTGAATAATGAAACTGTCAGGCAAATTGTGGGAACGACACCTTGTACTAGATTCATCGAGAAACAGCAGATCAAGTGGTTTGGCCATCTCGTTAGAATGCAGTAAGATCAAATACCATCACAAGCACTACATCTGAGAAGATCAGCTGCAAGAGGACGGTGGCAGAAAACATGGATTGACAACATTAAAGACACGGCATGACAATAGCCAGTGGCAGCCAACGTGCACTGCATCACAGATTATTCCTACCCACGACGCAGAAGTGGTTAATGATGATGATATGATATTATCTTCAGATTTCTCATTCTCAATATGTTAGATTCAAATTAAGGGCAGATCCATGCTTCTAAGCCATTGCTGTTTTTTGTTTATTAAAGCCTAAACAATATCAAGTGCCTGGCTCTTACTCCATAATTTTATAAATCTATCAGCTCTGTATAAAATCTGTATCACACTACTCACCCTCCACTTCTACCTTGGGGTGTAGAGGTTTCCCAGAAAGATCGCCAGAGAAAAGGAGTGTGTTTAAAATATTTATTTCTTAATTTTCCCCTAAAAAACAAAATAAGGGTCATCCTACATGATAAAATCATCATCATCATGTAGCAGGTCCTTTGCAGAATGTCGCTGTCATCACGGTCTGCCTGAGGGAAACTAGGTTTCTCGCCAGCTCTCCCGCCTTGTGTACTTTCATATTCAAGGAGTCACTTATATCCTGTGCCCATCTTCATGTTGGTCGGCCCCTGCCCCTCCTTCCTGGTACCATGCCTTCTGCTATGTGATAAAATACAGTACTTTATTTCTGCACCTTGTGTCTTAATGAACACATAGTTCTTGTCCCCTTTTTTAAATTGTCCAATCGTAACTCAGTATGTGATGCAATCAGTATTGCACATGTTGCTTATGGCATGATAAAGGTTCTTGATAATAGTTAAAAGTGAAATTTTTGCAGAAAATATTCTGCAGGTTTTTCTTCTTATTCTTTAATTCGCTTGAAATAGATTATCTATATCTGCAGTGTTGTCTCTAGTATACTTCTTCTTCCTCCCGTTCACCAGCTGTAAACTAGCAGAAAGTTCTGGTTGTTCATTCCATTTCTGGACTGCAGTCCTGTTCCAAAACCTTAGTGCTGCGTGTGCATCCGTTTTACAGATCTGACTCATTTGTATGCAGACTGCTGGTTCCTTGCCTCTCAGGCAGAAGCACTCCGACTTTGAAGGAAGCTCCCAATTAGTCGACTCTTGCGATATGCTTTTGGGTAGGCAGTGGGTCTATTCTTGTTTTTCCTATAACAGGGCCCCAGAACCCACACCAGGAAGTCTCTAGTATGAACGTCACTGTCTTTTGTAATTTACTCAGGTGCATTTAAAGTTTGTCTTGGACTAGATTCTGCAGTTATTTTAAAATGTGTTGCTCCCCAGGATGTCAATGTCTCTGCCTGCACAAGTGGACGTGGCCAGTTGGTTGTTGGAGACTTTGAGGGCAATTTGTACTTCATCAATAGACAAATGGAGCTGACTGCGTTCAGGGCGTATGAGATTAGAGTCACCCATCTGCTTCAGCTGAAGCAGCACAACTTGCTGATTTCAATTGGAGTAAGTCTGAATCTTTAATTCTGAGGGAATTGTATTTGTCTTAAATTGTTGCATTAGGATACACTGTGTGATTGTTTTCTTGTAATTAGTGCATGATTTAAATTGCTTGTTGAGTTTAAATTGATTGTAAAAAATATAAGCCAGACTCTTCCTTACTTGGGTGCCAGGTCTAGAGCATTTGTTAGCAGTCGCAGCTTTCTCTTTTTAATTTTAAAATACAGAAATTTAAACTTGTAAATTACTGTTGGTATTAATTCAGTAAAAATATATTTGCTAAAAGTAGCATTTAGGGAAAATGAATGGGGGAACTAATAAAGAAAATGGCTTTTTTTAAAAAGCTAATTTGACATCGTAAATTGCCTATAGCATCAGTGTTTGAATTCCAGCCATGTCACAGTGTCCCAGCATGTGTCACCTGGTACATTTCTTTTTAGGCGCTAAAGAGCCTGCTCCATTTAGTGCTTCACTTGCTTCATGTTTAGTGTTTACTGCCTAAATATACTTAGGGGTGGAGTTAATGGGGAAAACAAAAATAAACACGCTGTTTACCTAAAAACCTGTCATAAGAGTCGACTAATTGTAAGTTTCCTTCAAAGTCGGGATGCATCTGCCTCAGAGACAAGGAACAAACAATCTGCCTACACATGAGTCAGATCTGTAAAACGGATGCGCATGCAACACTCGGGTTCTTGAAAAGGACTACAGTCCAGAAGTGAACAAACAACCAGAACTTTCAGCTGGAGTTAATAGCTGGCAAAAGCAAAGAATAAAAAGACGAAGAAGACTTTGAGAAACATATTTTTTAAAGTTTTGGTAAATAAGTGAGTCAAAACTATATAAGTATATAAGGTCAAATTTTTTTTTTTTTTTAAACAATTTATTTTGCATTTCCTGTGTTGCTGCATTTCTTACTCTTTCCCCAAGGAACGCTTCATAGATGTCCACCCATATGCCCAGTGAGCTCAAGATACGCCAATTTTACGTATCTCTTTACTACCCATCGGGCCTCTGATGCTAAACCCCCTGGGACTGAAAGAGTTGAAGCATTTCTGGGGCAAAAGGGTTTAAAGGAGCTGGATATTAATACTTTCCATTTTGTTTTAATTATATTTTCACAGCTTTACAGAGGTTCAACTCATTTCCTGCTACTAATTATGTCTGCCAGTTATGCATTGTCATATTTGGAATGTGATAAAGTATTTACTTCATTAGTTCTTCTGAATATTGCCAATAATAATTGTGAACACATTGTGCTTTGCTTTTTATTTTGCTGTTACTTGGCGTTTTATGTAATTTGTGTGTGCTTTTGATTTGTTTTATGTAGGAAGATGAACAGGGAATCAATCCGCTAATTAAAGTCTGGAACCTTGACAAGGTATGACATAATTTACTATTGAATATGTGTGTGTGTATGTGTGATTTAAACAACTTGCTTTATGCTGATGACACTGTCCTAATAGCTACAAGTCAGAAAGAACTACAGGGATTAATAGATATGGTAGTGCTCGAAAGTGATAAAATGGGCCTTAGTTTGAATAATGGGAAGACAGAAGTAATGGTGATTTCCAAGAAAAGAATAGTGTCTAAATGTATAATAAGAGTCAGGCATTATTTTAGGCCAAGTACAGAAATTTTAATATCTGGCCACGTGGATAACATCCGGTGGAAGATGCATCACAGAGATAGATAAAAAAAATTGGACAGGGCAAGACTGCCTTTTATAAAATAAAGAACATTTTTTACACTAAATCCATGTCATTGGAGGTTAGGAAAATAATTCTCACAGGGTATATAGAGCTGGTTTTAACATATAGCTGTGAATCTTGGACAGTTAGAAAACAAGCCGAACAACATCTTGAGGTCTTGGAGATGTTGTTTTAAAAAAAGAGTCCTTAGAACTCCTTGGACAGCTAAGAAGAGTAACCAAGATGTTTTGAAAGAGGCAGATGGTGGAAGACAACTTATCACAAATGTCAGAAAGAGACGGACATCATTTTTTGGTCATGTTTTGAAAAGAGGGAAAATGGAAATACACACACACACATACACTCTGAAATCTTGATTAATCACAGTTTAAAATTTGGAGGTCTGTTACTGAAAATACCAAAGGGCACGAGAAAAAGAGGACATCCTGGGATTACTACAGAACACAAATGGACGGGAACAAAATGACACAGAGATATGATGAACTGAAAAAGAGTTTCGAAGTGTAGGAGGCAGCAGGACACACTTATGCTGAAAGAAGATAATTTAAGTGTAGGATACAATACTGCCCACCCTTTATGCTACGGAGAGGAGTTTTATGTATTTTATGCTTTTGTTATCTAAAGATGGTAGTAATATTTTTGCTCATATGTTTGTTAGTAACTTTTTTTGTAATGAGTTGTTGAATATAATCATTATATGTAAACTGTTATAGATGGATCGAGGAAATCCAACATGTACAAGATTGACAAGGGCTATCCCTGGAAATAAGCCTACACCGGTAAGTGGATAAATAATAAAAAGAGTGTATATGTGTAACTGCATTGAGTGATAAACATGCATATTTGTGTATAAGTTTGTACAGAGCAGATTGTAATGAATTACCTTGTTTGCTGACTGGTTTGAGCAGTCATGCCTCTCGACAACCTGTGATCTCCAACAGCATGTATGAGCCTTTGGTATGCTGACTCCCTTCCATCCAGTGCCAAAAGACATTCAAGAACCGTTTTTCGTTGTTTTTCCTTTACTTCTCTTTTCATCATTAGCTGCCTTTTATGGCATGCTTGTTAGGGGGCATGGGCCTATTCTCTCTCTCTCTCCCCCCCTCCCCCAATGCTTTTTTCTTCAAACAGGGCCCTTGAAGCCACACAAAGACCTCACCTCTCAAATCACTGGAATTTTTTTATTTTTCTCCACACTAATGATTTTGTCATATCATTTAATGCTATGTCTTCTGAAGAAGCACCAGTTAATAATTGTTTTAGTTTAGTGGTAATTGTTTCAGCTCTGTACAGCAGGAATTTTTTCATTCTGTGTAATTCTTTTCTTAAAGGTGTCAGCATTTGCAGTGCATGAGAATTTAAATTTCATGGCTCTGGGGTTTGAAAACGGCGCCGTTGTGCTGTTCAAAGGAGACGTTACAAGAGAAAGGTATGTGTATATTTTGTGGCTCACAGGGTTCAGGGGATAGGGGTACATTTTTTTTAAACATAATGAAACTATGTGCAATTCTCAGAAGTTAGTAAAAGTGAAAAACATCTGTCATGCCTTTGGTGCATTAGATGGTTCTACCCCTACATTTTTTTTTAGAACAGTTGACAGTCAAAGGCATCACACTGGCCACCTTTACTTTGCAGGAAATTACTTTCTACCCATCTTAGGCCGGGTCAGCCAAGGGGAGGGTAAAGAGGGCTGTGAAAAAAAATTCTACCTTGAATGTGGATTTGAACCTTAAACCTAAGGGTTGAAAGTCAAGCATATAGCCCTTATACTACCATGGTTCCAATTCTTCATGTGGGCCAGACTTTATTTTGGACAACTCTTATATTACCAGTGTCAAATATGGACCCTTACTGAAACTTATGAATGGAAAATCATAACCAGAGAGATGGGATGTCATAGGAAAGCTGCCGGATTAACAAGAAGATCTACAATTTCAAAAAAGTCTTACAATTCATTAAAGAGCAAACGTTAAGATGGTTTGGCCATCTGACGAGAATGCCCTGGTACCAGCTGCCACAGAAAGGTATGGTAAAGATATATAGTAAATGCATGGGAAGACCACACAAAATATGGAACACTTGCATCAAGAAAAACCTTTAAAAAAAATGAAGACTAACTTAATGCAGTGTATTGGAAACGGCACACATGTGGTCCTTACGTACCTCTCCCTCCCCCCCCCCACACTCTGCAGTGAGGTAACTGGGTGAACAGAAGAAAAAGTACCAAAGATTTTACCATGTATGATTAGCTGTTTACTGTTAACATTTTAAAGAATTATTTTACAATGTATTGTTACTGTTTACTATTTATTACAAGTATGCCACTCGGTGTTTGTCTTCAACATCGTGAAAAGAACGCTCGCTACATGCTTACACCACTCATACAGAAACTGTCACATGTGACAGCTACCAGTTAGTAGTACTATAATGCTAGCTGCACAGCGTAGCGACAAGGATGCAAATATCACAGTTTACCCTCTCCAGTGTAATCGTTACCTGCTAACGCTTAAACCTAGGAATTGATCAAATCTCACCAGTTACTTACTAATTACTACAGAAAGCACATAAAATGATCGTGTCTCCTATGTCTGTGTTACATATTGACTCCTCTCAATATTCTTCTGTTGGTTTGATTCAGGCACAGCAAGTCACGAATCGTGTTTGAGAGCAACAAGCGAGTCACAGGTTTAGCTTTCAAATCACAGGGCAAGGATGTGTTTCTCTTTGTTGTCACAGAAAATCAGACTTTGTCAATCAACATCACAGCTAAGGATACACAGGTTTGTCTCAATTGTTTGTTTTTTATTTGTTAAATAAGAATAGTAATAACAAAAGTCTCTGTGGGTAAAGTAATAAACATTAGAATAAAATACACCAGTAACATACTCCTGTATCTTTAAAAAAAGGAGTCGCTATGGTGTAGCGGCTAGACGCTGCTATGGTGTAGCGGCTAGACGCTGCTATGGTGTAGCGGCTAGACGCTGCTATGGTGTAGCGGCTAGACACTGCTATGGTGTAGCGGCTAGACGCTGCTATGGTGTAGCGGCTAGACGCTGCTATGGTGTAGCGGCTAGACGCTGCTATGGTGTAGCGGCTAGACGCTGCTATGGTGTAGCGGCTAGACACTGCTATGGTGTAGCGGCTAGACGCTGCTATGGTGTAGCGGCTAGACGCTGCTATGGTGTAGCGGCTAGACGCTGCTATGGTGTAGCGGCTAGACACTGCTATGGTGTAGCGGCTAGACGCTGCTATGGTGTAGCGGCTAGACACTGCTATGGTGTAGCGGCTAGACGCTGCTATGGAGTAGCGGCTAGACGCTGCTATGGAGTAGCGGCTAGACGCTGCTATGGTGTAGCGGCTAGACGCTGCTATGGTGTAGCGGCTTGACGCTGCTATGGTGTAGCGGCTAGACGCTCACCTGCTGATCAAAAGGTCAGGAGTTCGGGTCCTGAAGGTACCAGACCAGGAAGTAAAGGTGGCTGGCGTGATGTTAACCACATCACCCACCAAGTGCCAATTGATCTATAAAATGTAGGTCTGGCCCTAAATGCCCAGTACACCTGAAGGTGTGCTAGGAGAACTAGTCTGCTTCAGTACAACTAATGACAAAATGAATGTTGAGGTTAGAAAGCTTTCATCAGCATACAGTACTCATAAACAGTGGCCAGTCATATCTATATACTTCCTGTGTGGGTTCCGGGAACAACAAGAATAGACTCACTGCCTCCCCAACAAGCAGGTGGTAAGAGTCAACTGACTGGGGGCTTTCTTGGAAGTCAGTGCATCTGCCTCAGAGGCAAGGAACCAGCAATCTGCATTCACATAAGTCAGGTCTGTAAAATGGATGTGCATGCAACACTCAGGTTCTAGAGCAAGACTAAAGCCCAGAGGAGGACGAACAACCAGAACTTTCCGCTAGAGTTTACAGCCTGTCAATGTGAGGAAGAAGAAATATACTCTGTATATAAAAGAATACATTAAGTAGCTTAGCTTTTCGGTGAAGCCTCCTAACTCCTAAGGGGGCATTTGGGGGGCTGAGTGGTTTCAAGGTATGGTGTCCGTCTTGAGTGCTGGAGGACCCGAGTTCAAGCCCAGGTGAAAGCTGGGATTTTTTCACATGGACTTCTAATAATTTCTCCTGGTCTCTGGGTAGTGACGCCCGTGTGTATTCTTGTTACATTAAAAAATCCCTTGGCAGTTGGAAATTGGAAAGAGTAGCCTAACGATGCTGCCCGGGCAAAATTTGGAGTTAAAAATCTACCCAAAGCATTTCAGAATCCTCACCGGTGCAACAGAGTTTGTGCACTGCGCTGAGATTCTTCAGACTCAGGCTTGAGTTAGAAGTAGAACGGAGCACTTATGGGTTACACCCGTGGGCCATGATATTGATCTGACGAATAAACATAAACAAACCTTCTCACCGATGGTAGACCCAGACATGCTATGAGAATTAGCTGACTATTCTGTGATGCCTGTATGCAGTTTGCTAATGTAATGGCAAATGTTCACACTTCCAGACGGTGTTAGAGGATAAAGGAGCAAGCCCTGGCTGTATTGTTATGAGTGATGCTATTCAGGATAACCAATTGGTCATTGGACGGCCAGATGTGAGTAATCCAATCATTGACCGGCTTTTATTGTACGACATGTGCCTTTCTCTTCACCCCCCCCCCCTCCCCATTTTTGTTTTCTTCTTCTGCGTTTGTCACTCTGTCTCTGTGTCTCTCTTTGCCCACTTTCCCCATCTCCCTCTTCTTATTTTTCTTATCTATCTTTTTCTCATTATTGTCTTTCTAATTTTTCATGTAGTTTATTTGTGATGACTATGTCACATTCCTTATATATGATTGGATAGATACAAGAGGGTTTTAAATGAAAACCTTAATTTGTCTCTGTTTGTGGGGTGAATATATTCTGAACAAGTACCTCTTCATCAAATCAAAAAAGTCTTTTCTCTCAATGACTCTTTGAGTTGTCCAAACAGGTGGAAATCACTTGGGGCTAATTCTGGTGAGTAAAAGTGATGTGGTACACACTGAAAGTGGACGTCTTTGATGGTTTCAACCATTGCACCGGCAGTATGGGGTTGAGCATATTCATGTTGCAAAAGGTCACCTGTACTCAGAAGTCCACGTTGTTTTGATTTGGTTTGTGGGTCAAATATGATTCATGAGAAGATCTCTGTACGTATCACTAGTGACAGTTTCCCTCCTGGCACCTCATTCATTTCAAAAGAGAGTCCACATAACCTTTCCTGTGTATGGCTGTTTGCGCAACTTGCTTTGATTTCGGTTAGGAGGGATGGCATCATTCCTTGCTCACTCTCTTTGTTTCCGGCACTCTCTTTGTTTCCGGCTTGTGGTAATGAATGCAGGTTACATCTCCAGTAACAGTTCTTGATAGGAAACCATCACCTTCTGCCTCAAAGCTCTACAGAAGTTTTTGACAGTCAGTGTGAGGTGGCATCCACCTTGCAGCTACCATGCAGACACTTTGTGGTACTGTAGCATATCATAGATGTTGTTTATTGAACCTTAACTGATGTCAGTATGAGTTCCAGTCGGCAGTTTTCCACTAGAAGGCCTTCACCTATGATACTTATTTAACCCTGTGACCTGGTCACCTAATAAATAGCCTGTGGAGCCAGTGGAAAAAATATGACAAAGTTTTCTATTTAAAAAAAGCAATTTTCTTAAAAGGAATCTGCCTCTTCCTCCCACTCCCCTCTTTTAAAAAAATGCTATTTTAAGTAAATTTAGTTCCTGTCATCAAGCTGAATGTTTGCGCAGATTTTATTAATTCTGTTAGCTAGACGTCTCCTAAGCATGTCTCTGTAGCCAGTAAGATAAACGGCTTTTACTGGGAAATGGTAGTAGCTAGAAATATCAGCTGCAGCCAACCTTCATTATGAAAACAGGACTTTAAAAAAAAATAAATGAAGCGATGTTCATTTATATTTGATAGTTTGTGATACTTCAGGATGGTCGACCTGATAAGTTCCTCATCACCTTCATTCCTGTACATCCCTGGCATTCATTTTCCCAGCACGGTTGACTCCAGGTCACTAAGAATATCAGGTCACAACAAATGTCTCTCTCTCTCCAATTAAGAGAGAGAATCAGCCACCACAGCAGGCTCGGGAGACCAAGGAACCAGACCACCAGGGAAGGCAACATCCGACAGTCCCTGACTGACAGAGGACTGTGAGTGAACAAAGCCACACACACACACACACAAAACTGATATAGAAGTCTTGACGATCTATCGGGCAAATCTCTACACCCCGTGGTGTAAGAGGAGTGACTAAGTAAGGAAGTAAGTAACAAGTATGTAGCTGTTACCCAAGATTTGAACCCTGGACCATACTGTTGAAAACCTATTTCACATCTAGACTTCATACATTACCCTGAATTTCACTAAATTAATTTTGATATTGTATGTGATTCTAGATTTATTGACAGCATGCATTTGTAGTTTATCTGCACCTTTCCCCAGGCTGTCTACTTCTACCAGCCAGATGGACGAGGCCCATGCTTAGCTTTTGAAGGGACTAAGCTTCAGCTCCACTGGTTCAGAGGCTACCTGATCATCGTTGGCAAAGAGAACAAAGCTTTACCCAGGGCACCAGTTCTGTAAGCTGTTAAAGCCATTCAGTAACATATATAATGTTGATAGTAATGTTACCTGCTTTTTACTCTTCATTATCATTCTTTATCTTCATTACCCTTCCTCCTCTTCTGGCCTTCTACCTTCTGCTGGTGGGACAACAATGGGATTTCAATTGGGGAAAAATGCCACCTAAGTGATTTTATGTATTTTTGTTTGTATTTGTAATAAAGTAGATGTATATATGTACTGATTAAAGCTCTCTAACCACAGAGTTCACTTGGTGTTTATGTTTGTGATAATGGGAAGCTGACTGGTTCTGCTTTTCATTTCCTTGTTATTTTTACCCTCCTTATGCTGAATTGATTATATATTTGCTTTTGCATAATTGCAGTCATTGTTTAAAGCTTTTTTTCTAAGATTTTTTTTTAATTAACGGTTTTAAAGAATTAGCACTATATCCTCTAAATTTTTAAAAATCTTGTTCTGTCTACACTGAAAATAATTTGTAAGTTCATTGTTTTATTTCTTGTAATTCACCTGTAAGTTGCAAAAAAAAAGTCAAACACAGAAGAGTAATACTGTAACCTTCAGTGCTTGTTAACAGAGATAGCAGAGGAGAATTGACATAAAATTCATCTCGTAGAAAACTCTAGCCAGTCACTGCAAGGAAATAATGTGTTCGAGTTGAGCGCCAGTACTTCAGATAGAGTTAAAGGCATAAACACGCACGCACACACACATAAAAAAAATATTTTTAAAAAAAGAAAGAAAAGAGGTTAACTTCATTGCATCAGGTTTTATCCCATATAGCTCAGTCTTTTTCAGCAGAGTAGGTGTTTGCTCAACAGTCAAGCATTATCAATATTTTTTTAAAAATGTAAATCAACAGGGGCCCACATGGTATGGAGATGAACACAGTGACTGTCTACGACATTCAAAATAAATTCATTGCTTATTCTGCTCCTTACCCAGAAGTGATTGATGTCATGTGTGAATCCGGCTCCATTTTTATATTCACAGGAGACAGGAAGGTAATTTGCATATTTATGTTGATTTCTGTTGTCATTATCTACCATGTGCCACTAGGTATCGAAGTTTAACAGATGATAGGGTGTGCTCAGGGTTTTTCCACGTGGACTTCTAGTAATTTCGCCTGGTCTCTGGGTAGTAAGACTGGGTGCCCATGTGTATTGTTATGCACGTAAAAAATACATCGGCAGTTGGAAATAAAAAAATGTAGCCCAATGGTGCTGCCTGGGCAAAATTTGGAGTTAAAGATCTACCCAAAGTGTTTCAGGTACTCGCCGGTGCAACAGAGTTTGTGCAGTGCGCTGAGATTCTTCAGAATCAGGCTAGAGTTGAAAGTAGAACAGAGCACTTATGGTGTACACCCGTGTGCCATGAGGTTGATCTGTTGAATAAACATAAACATTCTACTGTTGACCAGTGGGTATGTGATAAAAGCCTTTAAATTAGATAACAGGCTACTTTAATAAGTTTATTTCATAATTGATGACATTGTCATACTTTATATCCCGAGTTTTGAGTGAAAGTTTTCAAGTATAATTTTTTTTTACAGCTTTACCAGTTGCAAGAAAAAGATACTCAAAGCAAGTTGGAAATGTTGTTTAAGAAAAACAACTATGCATTAGCAATCAGGTTTGTAGTTTTTCTATTTACTCTGTACAGATTTATTTCTCTAGTATGTGTGAATCCATGGAGTATATCCTATTTTTGGTGGCATAGATAAAGTTTCCAATGTGTTACAAAAGTCTATAATGGAGACTTCTTTGTTTTCTTCCTCTTCTAACACATCCGATTTAAGTTGACTTATTTGTCTTTTATGACTTTCTTGTTTGGAGGGGACCAAGTCTGTGCGTTCTTTTGGGAGCTGAACTGGCAGATTAAAATTGAAGGGGTAGAATTTCCTTCTGGTGTTATCAGTCAGATTAACTTCTTTAAATTAACATCCAGACAGTAGATGTGCTGAGATGGAACTACTTTGGGAATCACTGTGAAATATAGATTGAAAGAGTTCATCATTATCATCTCCTAAACCATCTCACATGAACACTAAAAACACAGATCAGGTCTGTGTTCTTGTCTCGCCCATGCTGTGTAGCCAAGCCATCCAGGTATTTTATCTCTTTATCTTCATCTGGCTCTTTTCCTATTACATTTGTCAGTTGTCACCAGTTTTCAAGTTAATAGTTATACATGTTACAACTTAGAAATACAGTATAAGTATGCAACATTTATTTAGTAACAGTTTAGATAATAGCCAGCACCTTTCACTTCTAGAGATGCTGGTTGTTCTCCCTTTTCTGTATTTACCCTTAAAAGGTGTGTAGGCACTTTGTGGTTTTACGGCTATACTGCTTTTTCTTCTTTCTTCTTAGAATTCACCAGCTATAAACTCTGGTGGAAAGTTATGGTTGTTTGTCAACTTCTGGACTTTGGTCCTGCTGCAGAACTTGACTTTTGCATGCACATTTGTTTTACAGAAATCTGGCTTTTTTGTATGCAGACTGTTGGTTCCTGGCCTCTCAGACAGATGCACTCGACCTTTAAAGGAAACTTACCTAATTAGTAACCTTGTGTTACATGCTTGTTAGGGATGCGGAGGGTCTATCCTTGATCCTCAAGAATGGGGCCACAGAACCCACATGGGGAGCTAGGCTGTAATATGTTCACCTTTCACCCCAACACATCTGATTTCAGCAAACCCTTAATTATTCATCTTTCATGACAGGCTTAGGATGGAGGTGGAGGCAGTCACTGCAGCTCTGAAGTGAATAGCAGAAAGTCGTGTTTCCAGAGAAATTATTGTGTCCGATTCTCAGTCAGTACAAATATGGCATGAGTGGATGCCAAGCATCAACATTTTAAGAAATCATGTGGGTATAATGTCAAGGATTTTCTGGCAACACAAGCGATAGCTACAGCAATGCTTGTACTGGACAAGGGAGATATTCTGAAGACCGTGGGTTTATTCCTTTTCCTCCCGAAGTGGGGTCCCTAACCCTCATATGGATAATGATTGTAAAATAACAGCCTTGTCTTATTGTGTATTCCTAACAGTTTAGCCAAAAGCCAGCAGCTGGACCAGGATGGTTTAATAGACATATTCACCCAGTATGGCGACCACTTGTATAGCAAGGGAGATCATGACAGTGCCATTGATCAGTACATAAAGACTATTGGCAAACTGGAGGCATCTTATGTTATCCGCCGGGTAACTCCTTTCATTCCACTTTTTTTTTAAAGGCTGTTTTGTGTGTGTATATAATGATCACTGTTATTGTACATTCATACCACCATAACTGCTTCAGTCTCCTAATACAGATCACACAAAGAAAATCTGTACTGCGCACACAACACCACCAGTGTTGGTCAGTTTGTGTATTTACTACAGGGTGTCTTTAAAGTGTCACTACACTTAGTATGCAAAAAAGTTTTGAAAAATGGAGTAGATAACATCCTTAGAATATGTGCTAGAGTCATTAAATTAGTTGCAATAGTCACTGCTGTTGTCTAATGCTGTTTTGGGAAAGCTGGAAAGTACCAGTGAAATATTAATTTTAACATACTTCTCAAGATCATTCAAGAAAGAATTCAAAGTAAAATAAAACAATGAAGTTTCTGAGAAACAGTTTAGATTTAGAAAAAAATAGTGGCACTAGGGAAGCCATAATTTGTTTAAAGATGCTGACTGAAAAATATATAGAAGTCCAGAAAAGTATTTATGCATGTTTCATAGATTACAAGAAGGCCTTTGACAGGGTGCAGCATGAAAAGCTAATTGCATGCCTCCAGAATTTAGGATTAGATGGAAAGGATATCAGAATTACTAGTAACCTAGACTGGGAACAAATAGCAAATGTTAGACACAACATCACCTCATCACAAATAGAGATAAAAAGAGGTGTACATCAGGGATGTGTGTTATCCCCAAGCCTTTTCAACTTATAGACAGAAAACATTTGTAAACATTTTGAGGAATTGTCAGGACTGAATGTTAATGGAAGAACAATAAACAATCTGAGATGCGTAGATGACACAGTGCTATTAGTAGAAACCGAGCAGGAGTTACATGAACTAGTTGATCAAGTCAGCAGGTGGAGTGCAGAGTATGGTTCAGACATTAATAACATTCGAAAAACAAAAACTGTGGTAATTTACAATGGAAAAGTACTGCCAACGGTGAACATCACAGTAAACGGAGAGCTATTAGAACAAGTAACAAGCTTTTCCTATCTAGTACACAGAGTAACAGTTGATGGAAGAAGCGAAACAGAAATCCTAAAGAGAAAAGGAATGGCTAAAACTGTCTTCAGTAAGATGGTTAAGTTCTTAAATATATATTCTCACTTTGTCTCAGATGGTTGTTCTCAAGTATGTCTCATAATATGTTCAGACATTTTTGACTACATCTAATTTCTCTTATCAGTTCATGTTATTATGTCCCGGGAGACTGCATCATTTATCTTTCTGTACTCCCATGATATTCTTTGCATTTTTCCTGGAAACTGTATTTGCGCTGATGTTAGATTTGTAGATTTATATGATCTAAACAAATAAGAGTTTTGTTTTTGCTGCCTATTGCTTTGTTTTAATATATAGAAGTAAACACAGTAACATATGTTTTGTGTCTGTCTGTGCAGTTTAAACCTGAGATTTATGAGTGTTGTGTACATTTGTCACCCGGGTATTCACTTTCTGCAGTTCTTGGATGCTCAGCGGATACACAATTTGACCAAATATCTTCAAGCTCTGCACAAAAGCCAGTGTGCCACAGAGGAACACACCACCCTTCTACTCAACTGCTACACAAAGCTAAAAGATGTTTCCAAGCTTGATGAGTTTATTATGGTACTGTAGAACCTCTTCTTCTCCTTCTCCTCTGCTGCCTCTTCTTCTTCGTCTTCTTCTTCTTCTGTTTCTTCTTCTTCTTCTTCTTCTTCTTCTTCTTCTTCTTCTTCTTCTTCTTCTTCTTCTTCTTCTTCTTTTTCTTCAGTTTCTTCATCTTCATCTTCTTCTTCTTCTTCATCTTCTTCTTCATCTTCTTCTTCTTCTTCTTTTTCATCTTCTTCTTCTTTTTCTTCTTCTTCTTCTTCTTTTTCTTCTCCTCCTTCTCCTCCTCTGCCGCTTCTTCTTCTTCATCTTCTTCTTCTTCTTCTTCTTCTTCTTCTTCTTCTTCTTCTTCTTCTTCTTCTTCTTCATCTTTTTCTTCTTCTTCAGGTTTCGCTCTTAAAAGAGATGTGTGTTTTTTGTGGTATACAGCTAGCCTGCTATATCTGTGTGTTTCGGCCTAGCACATCCCATTTCAGCAAATAATTAGTTGTCTGCTGTGACATGATTGGTAATGGGCTGTGGGTTTATCCTCTTATTGCCCAAAATGGGACCCCTGAACCAACACAGGGTGAAGTAATTCTACAAATATTTCAAGGAAAAATTTATGGGGTTGCCTCTTGAAAGTGACCTCATCTTTGTGTGTGGAAATTCTGGTCATTTACTCATTAACAACTTTTTCTGTCTTGGTATGACAAGCTAGATATTGTGAGGGCCCTTTGGGAGTGAGTGAACAGTGAGGAGGCACAAATAGATCGTTGCAGTCTGAGGAGAATGGCTGGGAATTACCAGGGGATCTGGCCAGCACTCAATGGAAAGGCGAGACAGATGTACAATCGGACAGTTACTAAAGTGTTAGCATCAGATGACTAAAGTGTTAGCATCAGATGACTAAAGTGTTAGCATCAGATGACTAAAGTGTTAGCATCAGATGACTAGAGTGTTAACATCAGTTGACTAAAGTGTTAGCATCAGTTGACTAAAGTGTTAGCATCAGCCAACTAAAGGGAATTTGTATGTGACTGGTTATGATGTTCTAAAGAAAACATCAGCTGCAAAATCCAACCAATCATGATCTTCTTCTTCTTCTTCTTCTTCTTCTTCTTTTACACCTTGTACCTCATTGAAGTGTTGGGGGGAGATGTAACATTCGTTGATGAGCTCTGTCAAGAGCACTGCTCATGATCAAGGGCTTGGTGTGAGTTGGCTTAGAGTTTATGCTCCATTGGGAGATGAAAGACAAATGAAGAAGAAGACACTGTGCTGTACTCATGTTGATAAAGTATATTTTACTTTTTTTTGCCCAGACCAAGAACAGGGAGGTTGACTTTGATGTGGAGACAGCCATCAACGTTTGTCGCCAGTCTGGCTACTGCAAACATGCACTTGCCCTGGCTGAGAAACATAAGAAGCATGAACACTATCTGAAGATCCAGCTAGAAGACATCAAGGATTACCAGAAAGCTCTGCAGTACATAGGGAAGCTAGACTTTGAAGCAGTGAGTTTGTTCATCTGTGTTGATTGCTATCTGTAGAAATAAAAGATAGTCTGATTGGAGGAACAGCCTGAAACTTGGTGGTAGTTGTCATTTTGTAGTCTTAAGGCATTTTAGAGGTTGTACTTTGAGAACTGTGTTTGGGATCAGCTAAGATGTGGTTCTTGAGAAGAATGTTGAGAATACCTTGGACTGCCAGAATTACCAACACTGAATGCATGGAAATGGCTAATAAAAGTAGAACATTATATACAACAATGAGAAGGAGACAAACAAAGTTTTTTGTCATGTAATGAGAAAAGGAGCACAGGAAAATATCGTGACGACTGGAAAGATCACTGGTAAAAGAGGCAGACCAAGAGAAAAGATGGTGGATGGCTTAAGACGGTGGCATGGAGGAATATCATCAGTGGAATTGATCCAGAACCCCAAAGACCGGGATCTGTGGCGACACATGAACCCTACGCCAGCTGGCAAGGCACTTGATGACTTTGAGAACTGCAGTAGATCTAGGTTAAAATTCTCAATAATGTGATGGAGTTTTTTCTGTTCGGGGTTAAAAAAAAAAAGATCCTAACTTGCACAGTCCATACCATCTGAAAACCTGTTCAGACTATGACTAGAATGTTTTTGCATTGCAACCCACTGAGTCAAAGGAATAAAGGCAGACCAAAAACACACAGGGAAGGTGAATTAGTGATGTGAACAAAATGAGAAAGACAATATGTGAGCTACATGCGATAACAGAAGTAGGTCAATTTGGATTGAGAGCTAGTCTCAGGGGACTGCCAGAGCAGAAGGAAAAAGAAGACGACGATGGGAGGTTACAACAGTTACTTATGCAAGTATATTTTTGTTTTTGTTTTTTGAAGTAAATATATTATTTTGTTACATTTGTAAGGCTGAGAGCAATCTAAAGCAGTATGGGAAAATATTAATGAATAACGTTCCACAAGAGACCACTGACTTGCTGAAGCATCTATGCACAGACTACAAACCCACAGACAGTGAGTATATTTGTAATAGTTTGGTAAAGTTGTTTGTCACACATTAATATATGTAGAGAGAGATCTGTTTCTCTGTGTGCGGTTTGGAAATTTTAAATTTTAAAAAGACATTGTATGCATCGTTAAGAATTACCGTAATGTGAGCTTTACAGGGAAGGCTAACCCGGACAACAGATGCCTGCAGAAGTCGGATGTGTCCGCCGAAAAGCGCAAATATCACAGCCATGCTGTAAACGGGCACAATGTATTTACATCTTCGGATGAACGCAGAAGAAACATATGAGCTTTGTTTGGTAACCGTGGTGTAGCAACTACAGGTTCCATTGTGGATCCGAAGGTCTTGGACTCAAATCTGCATAAAGCCTGGATTTTTTTCACATATGACCTTGGCTGCCAGGTTGACCCAGACATAAAAAGGGGCCAGGTAACTTCCTGGGAAGTAAAGGTATCTGGTGTGATGTTGACCACATGACTCATCGAAGGCCAGTTGGTTTATTAAAATATGAGCAACCCCAAATGCCCGATGTGCCATTGACCTGTAAAGGCACTTTTACTTTACTTACTTTGTTTGGTTGAGCCGTTCATTAGTTTTGAGCTTTTTAGGCTGCTAAGCAACTGAGCCAGTCTTCTGCTTGTCGCCTCTGCATTGACAAGTTCTAGTCTGGGGATAAGTTATGTTCCTTGATCAACCTTTTTTATATATTTTAATATCAGCTTTTTATGATTGTTTATTCTTAGCATTAAAGTTTAAAAAAAAAAATATGGCGCTCCTATGAATCATTCCCAAAATGGCCGACTACATATTTTTTAATACAATACTGAAACAATTTCCCGAAGACGGTGTTCGCATTTTTAAAATATGGACGTTCGTGCATTGTTATCTTTAAATACAAATGTTTAAACAAAAATATTCCTTGTGCCCATTTTTGCTAATGTCTGTCAAATGTTTTTGAAGGTTGATAAAATTGGTGATTGTGAATATCTTGTTGTTCTTCTTAGAGTTCACCGGCTATAACTCCTCAGGAAATTCTGGTTGTTCGTCCACTTCTGGACTTTAGCCTTGTTCTAGAACCTGAGCTTTACATGTACATTTTTGTTTGTTTATTTCATTTCAGGGCCTTTGATTGATCAAAACAGTCTAGAGGGTAAGTCCATTTATAGCAAACAGTGTCACATTTGTAACAGTGTGATGCATATTTCAGTGAACTTTAGAAACACATACTGTATCTTTCTTGCAGCTGCGTGTGAATTTTAGGAACTGTACCAAATAGCTGTATATGCTATATGGGAGCACTGTGCCATACAGCTGTTCATTAACATGAATGCACGTTTTCCTGTTGCAATGTACATTGCTTTAGTACAGCTTCTTCTCTTATCATTTATTTACTTACTGAAGCAGTTATAGTTTGCTTTTCAGTTGTGAGTTTTCTGTTAGCATTTGCTAAAAGTATAAATTTGATAGGAATATAACAACTGATAGCATTTGCTAAAACTATAAATTTGATAGGAATATAACAAAATAAAAACCTTTTATATACAATATATGTCTAGCCCTATATACCCAATATGCCTGAAAGGTGTGGAAAAGGGTCCTTTCCTTTACTTTTATATACACCTTTTCCTTGGCTTACGACTGATGCAACTTAAGACGTCTGCGCTTATGTCCCAACCAAAAAAAAAAAACATAAAGAAAAATAACTACACTGGTAGGGTTACAAAATTCCTGGAAGTGATGCAGTATAACCGCAAAGTCAGATTTTAGTCACACTGAAATTTTATTTATGCACCATTTAAATAATTGAGTTGAATTGAGTCAAGAATTGACATCACAGCACTCGGGGCATCTCCATGCGTGCTCTGTCCTCATTTTCAGCAGCCAGCACAAAGTTCCAATACTGATGGTACCGGTCACAATCTGGTTATATGTCCGTCTTGCCTTTCCTCTGAGTTTAGTGAGCCAGGCCGTAATGGTTTAAATAATTGAGCAGCATTTTAATCAGAATTTCAGTGTAGTGAGCCTCTTTAAATAGAGTTGGCAATACAGTAACTCAGGATATAATATAAACCTTTGATGTGTGAGTTTTTTTAAAATGACATATTATGGTTTTTCTTATTATATATAAAATTTATAAGTACACTGATTGTATTTTAGTGTTTTTTTTATGAACAATTTTTATAAACCCGTTTGTTGAAAATATAAATTTGACTTACGACCTGCTATTCAGAACGGAACTTGGTCAGCCAGGTCGTAAGTTAAGGAGACCCTGTGTTAGTACTGTAACTAGGTGTAGAAAACGATTTTTTTCATGTATGCTTGGATTTTAAAAAACTGTAACGTGTTGTCAAAGTACTGAAATATTTTAGAGTATTGCTGAAATGAACATTTTTGTTCTGATTTACTTTTATAAGCTTCATTAGAATCATTTCCATACTGACTGTAAGTTCATATCTTTAGACCCTGGTTTGAAGTCATGTAAGGCATAATATAATATATTCATATATTGTAGATCAGGGCTATTCAGCCGGCGGCCTGCAGGCCCATAGAGGCCTAGCAAGTAGCCTGTGCATTATTGCCAGCTGTATTGTATTAAATGATCTGTATTTGCTGGGGCTCGGGCCTCTGTTGATCCGCATTTGCAAAATGTTGGCGCCCAGAGTAAACTTGTTGAATGGCCCTGTTGTAGATGCTTTAAATTTGCCTGTTTTTTTTTTATTTTTTTTTATAAACTTACTAACTTAATTAGTTGTGCTGTAGCAAATAACCTGTGTTATAAATGCATATTGTATGTGTTATATTTGTTTTGTTTTTAGACACTTCAATTTTGTTGTGGCTTAAATATTAACATTTCACTACTGCTTGTGTGGTGATAGTTTTATTGTTTTCACAGCAGCTTTCTGTCGTCCATCGATTTTTTCTAAGTCTTCATTTTTCAGGAATTCTTCCTGCCTTTGCAGCCATACTCATTCAGTATAGTGAGTATATTGGCTCTCTTGGGGCAGATTGGCCTTTTTTTTTTTTTTTAGCTTTGATTTATAAATTTTTGCAAACTCAGATTTAGTCAGACTGAAATTTCATTTATGCACCGTTCAAATAATTTAGCAGCATGTTAACAGAATTCCAGTATTGTGAGCCTCTTTAAATAGGATTGGAAATACGAGCTTACAGTAACACAGTATATAATATAAACCTCTTATTAGTGGTTCTTTTAAAATTTGTGTTTATGCAGACATTTTTTTTACTCTTAAAGAAAACACAAAGGGGAGTAATCTATAATTATGAACTGATTGATGAATTAATTGGTTTATAGCCCCTTGAGCAAAAAAAAAATATATATATATATATGGTGTGGCTAACATCATGACCTTTCACACTAAAGTTCTGGGAAAATTATGCGCGCACCCTATGTAATATGCTCTGCTAGGGGCATGTATTAATTCGCATTGCTTTCAGACGAACAGTGAGTTGAAACGACACAGCATGAACGAATATTGAGTTGTTTGCTTTTATTCGTTGAATCGCCAATTATCGCATACATACATTCTCGATCCCTCGTGCTCGTCTTGCTTGGCTGAATCTAGCGACCTGGTCGGACTTCTCACACACTATAGGAATTCATCAGCGTCTCTCGAACCATCCATCTATCCTTCACGAACCCTGGTACCTGACATTACGACGTGTGGAAAAACATTCAATGCTTCTATTGAAACATAACATTCGTTTCACAAATCATTTATTCTTCTCAGGCGTCCACTCATGCGTCCTCTCTCAGTCAGGGCCGAACTTCAACTGTCTTACTTCTGTCTCCCGGTTTAAGTCTTCCGTTCACATCTCATGCTTTTCTTGTGTCCCTCACTTCGTTCACCATGAGACACACGAGACCTACTTCTCCCGTTTTTCTCTTCTCTCACGGGTCCTCCGACCTTTTCCTCCCCAACGGGAACTCTCTGGGATTTCCCCAGGGAATTCACAACATTACACCCCACCACCTCCCCCCCCCCCCCCTCACCCTTTCCATGCTATTAAAGTGTAAATATAATAATGTCTGGGCCTCCTCAACACTACACAGGTGAACCACTGCTGTTAGTTAAGTTTCTTGAGGACAAGTCATTGCAGCTGTGCCAGGTAAGCAGAACTTGCAGGGGTGGGAATGGACAGATGTGCTGGGTTTGCTACTTATCATGGCTAGAGGATTGATACTCAATTAATGTACAGGCAACAGAAGGAAGTCGGGAAAGTAATAAGAGTTATACAGTACATCTGACTGACACTACAAAATGTGACCTAAAATTTAAAACACAAGGAACTACATTAGGTCTATTTTTGCAAATGCTAAGTGAGCCTAGTTTAATGTTTTATACTAGGATTATCCTGCATACTTAAGAAGCCTCCGATGCTGTTGCTGAGCTTTATATGTTTGTTCTGGAAACTGACTGTGTACAATCAATTTACATGACATCATCAGTGTTTGTTCTGTTGTATTCATGCAGCATTATTTCATACCATATCTTGCTTTGCTTGCTGTGGGAAGGGCATCTGATTTTTGGTAGGGCCAATTGTCATATGAGCTTCATATCCTGCATGCTTAGAAATTGAAAATGGAGATTTTTTGTGTGTGTGTCTTTGTGTTTGGGTAGCGTTTGTAGCCATGTCTGTCTATGACCTTCTGTCTTGTGCACTTGCAATTCTGAAACAGTTGATCTTCCATGTCATGATGTCAAACTGTCCAGTATCTTCTGTCTCGGCCTCCCTCTGCTTCTTTTTCCCTCCAGCTTTCCTACCATCGTGATGTGCTTCACTTTTCTCCTTCTCATGATATGACCAAAGAATGTAGATTACCTCCTGATGTGGGCAATCAGTTCTCTTTCTGAGTCAGTTTCTTTCAAGAGATCTTCTTTACTCCTCTTATCTGTCCAGTATATTCTCATGTTTCTCTAAAACCACATCTCCGCCGCTTTCAAATAATTGTTCACTAATCATGGATTAGCACAATTAATGAAAGCACCATGGATGATACAGTTTATGGCTTCTAAATAATTAATTGTTCACTGATCATCACTAATCCACTTGTCAGATTAGCATGATTAATTATAGTCAAAAGAATGTTTTTCCCGTTGTAAATTAAAATACTGGGAACACAAAGAATTCATTGCACATTTTATTGTAATGTACCCTACGAGATACAGCGAAATATGCCAGGTGATCAATTGTGTAGTGTATTGTTTCTGTTTACATTATTTAAATTAATTATTTGCAAAATTAATGATGCACGCTTATGGCTTCCAAATAATTGCCCACTAATCATCACTAATCCAGCGGTTGGATTAGCGCACTTAGTGATAGCACAGTTGTTGATACAGTTTATGAGGAATATCAGATTGCTGCACATTTTATATGAATGTGGAACTGTGATGGTGTAGTCACTAGACACTTGCCTGTCAGTCTAATAGTCTTGGGTTCAACAAATCAAGGTAGATACACTTTTTTTTTTTTTTAATAATTGACTGTGGCTTCCAGGTTAACCCAGCCTAAAATGGGTACCAGAAAATTCCTGGGAAGTAAAAGCGGCTGGTATAATGTTGACTACATCACTTATTGAATGTGGATTGGTATGTAAACGTATGGGTGTGGCACTATATGCATAATTTGCCACTGGCACGAAAATGATGATAGATAGTATTCAGGATTAGAGATTGAAGATCAGTGTTCGGGTGTTCGTTGGTCTGCCTGTATTTTATCTCTCCACTGTAGCCTAATAAATGTGAGACCTTATGCCAGGACTATTCAGTAAAGTTTACTCAGGGGGCCAAAGTTTTGAACATGGGGTGAGTGTTACGGGCCAGAGCCCCAACATAGAAAGATCATTAATACAATACAACTGGCAGCGATCCACAGACCAGGAGCCCAAAACCCCAGCATAGAAAGATCATTAATACAATACAACTGGTAGGGATCCACAGACCAGGGACCCGAAACCCCAGCATAGATAAATCAATAATACAATACAACTGGCAGAGATCCACAGACCAGGGACCCCAAACCCTAGCATAGAAAGATCATTAATACAGTACAACTGGCAGGGACCCCAAACCCTAGCATAGAAAGATCATTAATACAGTACAACTGGCAGGGATTCACAGACCAGGGGCCTGAAACCCCAGTATAGAAAGATCATTAATACAATACAACTGGCAGGGGCCCGAAACCCCAGCATAGAAAGATCATTAATACAATACAACTGGCAGGGATCCGCAGGCTAGGGGCCTGAAAGCCCAGCATAGAAAGATCACTAATACAATAAAACTGGCAGGGATCCACAGGCCACTTGCTAGGCTCCTGTGGGCCTAATTTGGCCTGTGTGCTGCCAGTTGAATATCCCTGCCTTATGCCACAACTTTTTATCTATGAAACCTAACACTTCAAATCCATGTGGTAGTATATATCACGGAATTTACTATATAATACAATTCAGAGGTTTCTGGGTTGGCAACGCTAGTATGTTTATGCTAATATGATAATTGATATTTGTGAAATACAGTACTAAGTTCTTATATTTTGTATAATTTACAGGCACAGTGTGCGTTTGCTGGCAAGCATGTGTATGTTTGGCTGATTATGTGTATGTGTGCGTGAGCATGTTGACAATTCAGAGGGTAAAATTGCCTAGTAAAACCATGAACATTAGCAAATGCTGGGGTTGGGTTGCAGTGACCTATAAAGAATATAAATAAAGTAAAGGACCCCTTTCCACACCTTCAGGCATATAGGGCTAGACCTTCATTGTATAGACCGTTCGGCACGCGGTGGGTGATGTGGTCAACATCACGCTGGCCATCTTTGCTTCCTAGGACTACACCCAGTACCCACTCAAGGCTGGGTCGACCTGGGAGCCAAGGTCATTTTTGAAAAAGTCCCGCTCCATCAGGACCAGAACCCCCGACCTACTGATCCGCAGGCAAGCTTCTACCCACTAGACCATGTGGCAACTTATAATGATTAGTCTCCCACCTATCTTTAAATTAATTGCACTGCCACATCTGGACATATTTTGTGTAATATTTGCTTGTGTGCGTGCGTGCATGCATGTGTGTTTGTTTGAACATTGAACATTGATTCCCTGATGTTTGTTAAATGTCTTCTGTTTGGAATATGTTAATTTACTGACCAGTTTTTTTTTCTTTCAATTTTTTTCTTTTTGCCAGGTGGGATCCCTAGAATCCAGAAAGCTAATGCAGAAGAGTTTATTCACATTTTTGTCAACAATTCCAGTAAACTGACAGAGTTTCTAGAGCATATGATTGAGGTATGTATATTGATTGACTGCAGACTTAACCAGAAATATTCAAAACCTCACAGTTGTGTCTGATAAACCAGTGTTTCCTAAACTTTTTTGGGTCACGGCGCCTTTTTTCACGGTGCTCTAACCTAAGTAAAAGTATGACTATTCATGTCTTGGTTAAATTAATTATGAAGCTTTTACAATATTTCACGCCGCCCTGTGAAGAGGTCGCTGCTCTCCAGGGCGCAGCGGCGCACATTTTGGGAATCACTGTGATAAACTATTACTTTAATTAGGCACATTCATAGCTGGGTTATGATGGCTGGTTGATCACTTTATCATAGGCAGTTAAAAAATCTAATAGAAGCCTTAGAGGATTAGGTAAAGATTATAGAAAAGTTAGGGTGGAAAACCTAGTGGAAATGAATAAATGAACATGTCAAATATTGTGATCACATTAACTCTTTCAATACCAACCAACTCACTTTAAGTTTCTTGGTTATTCCAGAGAAAGAAGAAAATGATTTCTATCACAGCCGAGGGATATATTTAAATCCTTTGGTAATTAGTTATTAGTTTAACTTTTTCTGTCCCATAGCGTTTCTAATGAACGCCTTCAGACCTAAAAATTTATTGATTTTGAGCTCAGCTTCTTTGGAATAGAGAAGTTTAAACTAACATTTACTTCAGACAGAAAGAGTTAAAAGACATGGCACACTTGTTGAAACCATACTGGCAGGAAACGTCAATGGTTGGCAAAATTTCTATCCTGTTATTGGGAAGAAGGACTAGACCACTGCTGCTCTGACAAGCATGACATAAAAGTGGACCTATTAGGGGAGTTTCCTTTAAAGTCAGAGTGCATCTGCCCACGGAGCAAAGAACCACCAGCTGCATACAAAATAAGCCAGATCTGTAAAATGGAGGCGCACACAAAACTCAGGTTAGGGAACAAGACTAAAGTCCAAAACCAGAACTTTACACTGGAATTTGCAGCCATTGAACACGAAAAGAAAAAATATTGACACTGATGTTTTTAGGAAATACTAAACAAGAAGTTACAACATTGTTTTGTTTATCAGGATGAAACTTTTGATTTACAAATATCTTGTTTTTTGCTACCCAGGTTCAGCCAAACTCCTCAAATTTGGTCTATAATACTCTGCTTGAGCTTTACCTACATGACATGGTCCATGAGTCTGCCATTATTGTGAGTATGGCTTTTCAGTTTGTCTTACTGTGTATGGCCATTTGTTAATAAAGCCTTTCTTACACTGAATGAAAGTTTAGCAGTAGTTAATTGTAGAAGCTACAGAATCCTAATAAAAAAAAAAAAAAATGATTTGTTATGATCATATTAGGAGCGGCTGGTCGAACGGTTAGAACGCTGGTGTCTCAAGCGGGAGACCCAGGTTCGAATCCTCAGTAAGACTGGGGATTTTTGTTTGTTTGTCAGGGGCAAAATAAAATCCTCACCTGCACGGTCGTGGCGACAGCACTAGCCATGTGCGGCCTTAAATCCTCAGGCTCAAAGACCCCTCCTGCCTACACCGCAAAAGTGGTAAAATAAAGGCAGTTTTTATGATCACTGAAATATCATGTGACGGTGTCATGTTAACTATAATATTTTGTGAAGATTTCAGGAAAAGTAAAATATTAAGGATTTTATTAATATCCTACCCCAGATGACATCACAGGACAGTCCAACATTTTAGAGGGTAGTAAGACTGGGTTTCCCGGCTTTCTGATGCTTTTAATGATACCAAAACATCTAGAACTGATAATAACCCCAACACATCTACGTCTCACGAGAGAGTGCAGCCTAGGTCCCACGACTGCATTCAGCCTATCTACCACTCCCTGAAATAATAGACTGTGATGTGACCTGTAGATTTACCCTGTTTGGGGTAGGATAATAATAAAGCACCAAATATTACACAAAGATGCTATGATACATGATGGATATTATATCTTGAGACATCCTGAAATTGAGACTTAATTTCTCCATGTGGGTTCCATGGAGCCATTGTGTGAGAAATAAAGAATAACCTACCATCCCCCAACAAGCATATCGTAAAATTCTGCTAATTGTGGGTGTTTCCTTCAAAGTCGGAGTGCATCTGCCTGAGTGGCGAGGAACCAACAGTCTGCATACAATAAGCCGGATCGTAAAATAGATGTGCACTAAAAACTCAAGTTATGGAACAAGACCAAAGTCGAGAAGTGGAAGAGCAACCAGATTTTTCTACTGGAATTTACATTTAGTGAATGCGAAGAAGAAAAAGAAGACACCCTAAGAGACAGCTGCTGATTAGAAAACTGAAGAACTATTGTACATATTCTCACAGGAGAGGTAATTTTTAGCAGTGATCATAGTATGTAGACCAATATTAGGCTTATGAATGTCAAGTGAACGTAATATCAGAAAAGAGATGTATCTTTGAATATGTTCGTGCAGTTGATAATGTATTCTAGACAGTAAGAGAGTTTTTTTCTTTCTTATTCAACAAAGTCTGTACTGTTGATGATGTGTGCTGGAAATGACAAGCAGGGTCGGCAGCTCAGGCTAGCATTTCTTTTTTTTAAAACAATCTCCAGTCTTCCTGAGGATCAGACATATCCCATGATGTGTAAATAATCTTCTGTCTTCCTGAGGATCAGACACATATCTTACGATGTGTAAATAATCTTCTGTCTTCCTGAGGATCAGACACATATCCCATGATGTGTAAATAATCTTCTGTCTTCCTGAGGATCAGACACATATCCCATGATGTGTAAATAATCTTCTGTCTTCCTGAGGATCAGACACATATCCCATGATGTGTAAATAATCTTCTGTCTTCCTGAGGATGTGTGTAAATAATCTTCTGTCTTCCTGAGGATCAGACACATATCTTACAATGTGTAAATAATCTTCTGTCTTCCTGAGGATCAAACACATATCCCATGATGTGTAAATAATCTTCTGTCTTCCTGAGGATCAGACACATATCTTACGATGTGTAAATAATCTTCTGTCTTCCTGAGGATCAAACACCTATCTTACGATGTGTAAACAATCTCCAGTCTTCCTGAGGATCAAACACATATCCCATGATGTGTAAATAATCTTCTGTCTTCCTGAGGATCAAACACATATCCCATGATGTGTAAACAATCTTCAGTCTTCCGGAGGATAAAACACATTTCCCATGATGTGTAAACAATCTTCAGTCTTCCTGAGGATCAGATACATATCCCAAGATGTGTAAATAATCTTCAGTCTTCCTGAAGATCAAACACATATCTCATGATGTGTAAACAATCTTCAGTCTTCCTGAAGATCAAACACATATCTCATGATGTGTAAACAATCTTCAGTCTTCCGGAGGATAAAACACATTTCCCATGATGTGTAAACAATCTTCAGTCTTCCTGAGGATCAAACACATATCCCATGATGTGTAAACAATCTTCAGTCTTCCTGAAGATCAAACACATATCTCATGATGTGTAAACAATCTTCAGTCTTCCTGAAGATCAAACACATATCTCATGATGTGTAAACAATCTCCAGTCTTCCTGAGGTTCAAACACATATATCATGATGTGTAAACAGTCTGTCTTCCTGAGGATCAAACACATGTCTCATGATGTGTAAACAATCTCTAGTCTTCCTGAGGATCAAACACATATCCCATGATGTGTAAACAATCTTCAGTATTCCTAAGGTTCAAACACATATCTCATGATGTGTAAACAATCTTCAGTCTTCCTGAGGATCAGACACATATCCCATGATGTGTAAACAATCTGCAGTCTTCCTGAGAATTAAACACATATCCCATGATGTGTAAACAGTCTTTAGTCTTCCTGAGGTTCAAACACATATCTCATGATGTGGACTCCTGACCCCTTGGCCACTTTCTTCTCAGCAAGGGAACTGTCAGCTGAACCCTTCCACTGATGGTGCTAGACACATTATTTTACATATCAGTAGGTACTGTGGAAAGATCACTGGTAGAAGAGGCAGACCAAGAGCAATGATGGAGGACGGCTTAAGACTGTGGCATGAAGGAATATAATCAGTGGAATTGATCCAGAACATCAAAGACCGAGATCTGTGGAGATGTATGAACGCCTACACCAGCTGGCAAGGCACTTGATGGTGATGAGGAGGTACTGTTCAGGTAATGTCAAAATCTTGCTGAAGAGAACCACAGCCATACATATCTGGGAGTCACTGAGTAAAACAATCTTCTTTTTCTTTAGCCTTCACCGGCTGTAAACACCAGTGGAAAGTTCTGGTTATTTGTGAACTTCTAGACTTTAGGCTTGTTCTAGAACTTGATTTTTGTGTGCACAGTTGTTTTACGGCTATGGCTTATTTGTATGCAGACTATGCTTCTCACCTTTCAGACAGATGCACTCACAATTAGAAGAAAACATCCATAATTAGTCGCCTCTTACAACATGCATAGGGGGGGGGGGCAGTGGGTCCTTTTTTGTGTTACCCCCACCACAATGGGGTCCTGAAATCCACATGGGCAGATGAAACAGTGACATTTTAGGAAAGATGAAGCTGTGGTGATTCTGTCTAAATAAAAATATTTATACAAACTGGAAGGGAAGTAAAAACAGTAAAACTTTATTAACACAAATTCGCTAACAAAGAGAGAGAGAGAGAGAGAGAGAGTACTTAACTCCATTTCTTTTCAGCATCGTCCGAGGTGAATATCGGTATGACAATTCTAGGTCTGTGAAAAGTATAAGTAGATGGCTTCTTTTTCTTTCTTTTGTCTGCTCGCTCATACCAGGTTATGACCAGTTGTCATGATTTTTTTTTTTTATTTGGTATTTGTCTTGTGCTTCTCGGGTAGATTAGATGGTGGATATGGAGGTGGCTTCAACTTATATAAAGCTATTGCAATTATTTGTTTGCTTACTTTTCATTTGTGAACATCTTTATATTTTTCAGTCCCGGGTGGAAAGAGAGAGGAAAACACTGGAACTGTTGAAAAATCAAGATGTAAGAAGTGCTTCCTGCTGTTTTTTTATTTTTTTATTTCTGTCTTCTCAGTACATGCATGAACATTGTGTTTTTATGTCAGATGTTTGCAGTTTAATTAATAAAGGTTGGGGTTGAAGGTTAAAGGTGAGAGGATCAACTTTATTGCATTGGGTTTTATCCCAAATGGCTTGGTTTCTCTCCGCTGTATGACTGGCCACCTGCTAAGAGTGTCACACAAAGCATGAACTCCATAGCTGTGGAATCGTTACCAGGGATCTCCGTAAAAATTGCACTTGTGAATCCACAACCTTGAGAGTACGAGGCAAATTCCTTGACACTTCATCCACAGAAATTCAAAAAAGTTTAATCAGAGACATTCATAAAGATCTCTGTCTGTCTGTCTGTCTCTGTTTCTCTCTCTCTCTTTCTCTCTCTCTCTCTCTCTCTCTTCTCTCTCTCTCTCTCTCTCTCTCTCTTCTCTCTCTCTCTCTCTCTCTCTCTCTCTCTCTCTCTCTCTCTCTTTGTGTCTCTTGCGCGCTCGCTGTGGGCGAGCAGGGGATGGGGCTAATGGTGTTTGCCAGCTTAATTATGTTGATATCTATGCATACAATAAGATTGGTGGTAGTATACTAGTAACTGCATTTGCTCAACAATAGTTCAGGTTCATTTTGCAAGCAAAATGTATCTAGAATATTATGCATAAGTGAACTGATATAATACCTAGAATATTTCCAGAAATGTCTTGAGACATCCTGAAATTAAGACATCCTCTGTCTATCTGGTTTCTAGGATCTCATGGAGAAACGGTGGTGGTGGGTGGGGGGGGGGGGGGGGGGGGGGTGACCAGATCCACTGACACTACACACACAATCACGCACTTACACAAGTATGTTGTAAAAGTCTACTAATTGGGGGTGTTTCCTTCAAAGTTAGAATGCATCTGCCTGAGAAGCAAAGAACCAACACTCTGCACATAAATATACCAGATCTGTAAAAATGAACAGTATTTCCAGTTGGTATGACTTTAAAGGCTTTCTAGAGGCAGTGTCCATACTGTCATTTGTGATTGCATTCTTGTTGTATTTTACATCTTGATTTATAGTATTCTAAGAAGTTATAATTGGCATACAGCATTAACTCAGTACCAGAAAGTTTCAGGTGGGATGCGAGAGGGAAGAAATAACCATAAAAGAAAAGCATGAATTCATTACTTTCAAAGTAGCAACACACACAGTGGCTATAACCTTTTGGGGAAGCCAGATTTCTTTAGTAAGTCCTTACTAAATTTTAAAAGTAATAGAGCACATTATGCTTTGGAGGGAAATCGAGGGACAGAGACAATTATACGTTGGGCAATTTTTGGGACTAAAAGAGTTGAGTTGAGTTGAGTCAAGAATTGACATTACAGCACTCGGTACATTCCCATGCATGCTTCGTCCTCATCAGCAGCCAGCGCAGAGTTCCAATTCTGATGGTACTGGTCACAATCTGGTTAAAAGTCCATCTTGCCTTTCCTCTGAGTGTAGTGAGCCGGCCAGACCCTCTGGTTACACCCAGGTGCCTCATTCTCTCCAGGCCATAATAATCTTCTTTCTCTACTGATCCGTTGCTTGTTCCCAAAGGGCCTTGACCACATCTGCCTTGTCATGTATCAATTCACCACCCAGTGGTGCAGATCCAGCCATTCTGTCTGCTTGTTTATTACCCACTAGTTAGCATAGCCTGGAGAAAAGATCCAAAGTATGCTCACTACCCGTGACCTTTCCAGTGAAGCTTGCCACTCTGCTCGAAGCTTTCCTGTTTTCACCTTTTTCAGCATGCTTTCTTAGTCTGTTAGAATTACAACATGTGTATGCATCTTGTTCTCTAGCCACCGGAGAACTGCAGTTACCGCCTCCACATCCATTCTCTTGTTAGATGTTGTGGTGAGACCAAAAGAGTTAAAATACTCAGTATTTTGTAGCTGATGTTTTTCTTGTTTTTTTTGTTTTCTTGCAGGCAAATTATGATATTGACCAAGCACTGATTTTATGCCAGATGAACAACTTTAAGGCTGGAATTCTCTACCTTTATGAGAAAGCACAATTGTAAGCCAGCATTTTTTCATGCTTCACTTACCTCTTCATTTGGGGGTTATTTTTTTTTAATTAATTTGAAAAATACTACTATTTTGTTTACAAATTACATATTTTTTTTTAAATGGTACTGTATTTGTAAACATTTCAACGTTGATAAATTAGGAAAGGAATATAAAGGAGGCACTGCAGTGAGACATGGAGAATTCCTTTAATGTTTTCATTTTAAATTCCTGGCTATTTTGTTTGGCCACATAGTGAGAGGAGAGACATTGGAGAACATCGTGACAACTGGAAAGATCAGTGGGAAAAGGGGTAGAGGCAAACCAAGAGAGATGATGCTGGATGGGCTAAAACGATGGCATGGAGGGATATCATCAAAAGTGCTGTTCCAGTCAACCAGGGATCCTGATCTGTGGAGACGCATGAGCCCCTATGCCAGTTGGCAGGGCACATGATCATGATGATTTTGTTTTTCTTTTTAATATGTGCAGCAAATTATTGCCTCTTCATTTGCATCATAGGCATTATTTTTTGGCTGTTTCAGTTGAATTTCACGCTGTTCAACTCAGCAACCTTAGTTCTTTCATAAGTGTTTTTGTTTTGTTTTTTGGTGTCTACTTTTATTGTCTTTTCCGTTTAGCGTAAAACCGAGCAGTTCTTTTAGGATATAATATTTCTTCTTCTTCTTTCTCATCAAACAAGCCAGGAAGCTCAATTTTTCTCTGTTTATTTTTTCATGAGAACCCATTCTCACCTAGTTATCAACGCCATCAGACTCAGCATGCATTTATGTAAGATTTCTTTTGTCAAGACACCTTCTGTCTAAGATAACAAGCACTAGCTACAGATGCAATGGTTTTAAGTTGGAATTTATTACTCTCATCATTAAGATAATATGCATATCTCTCTGAGGGTCCATCTTTTATAGCTGTGTTATTTTCTGTAGTTTTTTTGTTGTCGTTTTTGTTAATGTAACTATATTAATGTCATATTCTTTTTGCCAGCTTATGGGCTTTCATGCCCTAACCTCATTCTGTCATTTATGATTTTGTTTCTTGTAAAGCTGGTCCTTCCTTACTTTTTTATGTTGATTTATTCATTCTACTTTTGTTAGTCAAGTAATCAAAAGATTATCCTCATTGCACATCGGACAAATCCTTAAGAGCTTGGATCCTATCTTCAGTAAATCTTTCAGTGTGTGGTGACTGATAACTCCAGTTCTGTGTTGGTTTACTATTCTTCTTTGGCTACCAGTACAGTGTTCATGTTTGGCAATACCTCTTTTGACCTGAAGTTCTTGTAGTCTTTTGAATGTTGCCGATTCAATGTCATCTCTTAAATTCTATTTATTCTGTATATCCTAAATTCATTCCATCTATCCATGGGTAGGTTATTTTCCACTTACAATTTTACTAGAGCAATGGTTTTACAGTCTAATTAAGTGATTCCCAAACTGTGTGCTACTGCGCCCTGGGGAGCCACGACCTCTTCACAGGGGCGCCTCAAAATATTGTAAAAGCTTCATAATTAATTTAACCAAGACAAGAATAGTCATACTTTTACTTAGGTGAGGGTGCCGTGGAAAACTGTTTATTGAAAAAAAGGCGCTGCAACCTAGACAAAATTTAGGAAACACTGGCCTAATCTTTGTAAATTTAGGAACCACTTCAATGCAGTGCTAAGATGCTTTACCAGCCAGAAGTGTTCAGTCTCTCGAGGCAGACATTGTTTTTTAACAGTTAATCTGTGCTCCCTAGTTAATGCAGCCTAATGGTACATTTAATACCCAAGTCTCCCTGTGTGGGTTTTCTGTGCCCCATTTAGGGGAAGAAAAGAATAAACCCACTGCCTAGCTAGCAAGCATGTCCTAAAAGATGACTAATTAGGTGCTCGCTGAATTTGGACATGTTGGTCTGAAAGGCACAGATGTTGCTGCCTAGCTGTAAGCCACAATACAACATGTCAACCATCTTTTTAAGGACAAACACAGAAGAAAAGGAAGATACCTAAGACAAATGAATCACAACAGCACCGTAGATAGCTAGCAAATTTTTGATTCTGAAAAAAAAAATAGCAGTAATGCCACTTTGCAGTGACAAACTAGAAACAATTTTAAACATAAAAAATAGTGGTGATACCGCTTGTAGTGAAAAAACTAGCACATTTTTTATTCATCAAAAATAGCAGTAATACCACTTTGTAGTGAAAAACTAGCTGATGTTTTGTACATCAAAAATAATGGTGGTACCATTTTGAAGTAAAAAAACTAGCACATTTTTTATTTGTAAAAAATAGCAGTAATACCACTTTGTAGTGAAAAACTAACACATTTTTGTTGCATCAAAAATAGCAGTAGTACCACTTTGTAGTGAAAAGCTATCACATTTTTGATTTATCAAAAAAGCAGTAATACCACTGTGTGGTTCTAATCCTACTGTAGTCCACAACATGCTCTCAGATCCTATCCTGTCTTTTATCCTTCCCCTGGTTGTGTGCCCCAAAATGTGCATAATCTGACTTTGTTTCTCTACAAGGACAACAAAGAGCATTTTGTCTTATAGATTTCATGAGCTTAGATATTCTATTTTCATATGTACTTTGTAAATGTAATTCTTCTTTTAATGTTGTCTCTGTGGTGCTTGGTTAAGCTATTTGCCTCATGCTCTGAATGTTGTGTGTTTGGTTTCTTATTCCATCCTTCAGTTCAGACAATATGCAGAGAAACATTGAGTTATGCTTGATAAAGTAAATCCTCTCTTTATAAACATCTTTACCCCCATGTGGGTTCTTTATCCCTATAAGGGTTCTTTACCACTATGTGGGTTCTTTACACCCATGTGGGTTTAAGGGCCCCATTTGGTAAGGGGGGGGGGGGGGAGGGCGCGGGGAACAAGAATAGACCCACTGGCCCTGTCTGCAACAAGCATCTTGTAAAAGTCGACTTACTAAGGGTGTTTTCTTTGAAGTTGGAGTGTGTCTGCCTGAGAGGTGAGGAACCAGCAGTCTGCATACAAATAAGCCAGATCTGTAAAATGGATGTGCATGCAACAACAAAAAACTCAAGTTCTGGATCAGGGCCAGAGTCCAGAAGTAAACGAACAACCAGAGCTGTCCACTGGAATTTATAGCCAGTAAACGGGGCCGCATTAGCGCAGTCGATAGGAGACTCACTTTCAAATCCAGCTGCGACTCGCTGCAGCCCGCGGCCGGTGTTCGAAACCGGACAGTTCCCAGGGTTCACCCAGCCTCTGAGAAATGGGTACTAGAGTTAACACTCTGGGGTAAATGGAAGAACGTCGCTGTAGCTACAGAGTTTGGTGCGGACAGTGACACAGGCGGACAGTTTCTTATCAGCTGTCTGAACTGGTGGCAGAGCACTAATGGTTTATAACCGTATGGATTGATTTTGGTTCACATCTCCCGGTTTTACCTTTTTTTTTATAGCCTGTGAACACTAAGAAGAAGAAGGAGAAAGATATTTAATTGTACAGTGGAGCCTCGCTTAACGGGCATAATTCGTTTCAGAATCATAAACGTTAAGCGAAACACTCGTTATGCGAAACAATTGTTCTCATATAAATTAATGTAAAATACGATAATGCATTCCATGTCGAAAAAAATTACTCACAAATGCTATTTATAACGTTTATTCAAAGAAAATTATATACATATTGTTAAGGAGAGTGAATCATCATCATCTTTTCTTCAAACACGGAACGAAGCCACCTAGAATGCGAATTCGATTTGCAGGAAAAAAAAGTCGAAAAAATTATGATACATACCTAATTATTTTTTTTTTACTAGAAAGATGTCCTGAGACATTTGTTTTTGCAGACGCTTCAAAATTTGACAACAATTAGACACAGCATTATTAAATAAATTTTCCACTTCCTTATTAGGGTGACGCTTCTCAGTGTAAGATGCAACAGTTTTCCATGCTTTCAGCATTTCTCTTATTTCGCCAGAAGATTATTGCTTTTCTGTTACCTCCTCGTCCTCCTCTGACAAACTTTCCTCCAAAATTTCTTGCTGTGAAAAACACAATGCAACCCTATAAGCTTTTGGGTAGTCAGCTCTTGGCTGTGCTCTTCCACAAGCTCTTTGATATCCCTGTTATCCGCCTACAATCCCATGATAGTGGCCAAAGACACAATCTCGTTGACTACAGGTTCCACAGGTACTGTCTCGAACCCCTCAAGGTCACAAATCGACAACGCTTTCCAGCCAAAGCTTCTTCCAAGCAGAAGTTGGGGTTCTCTTGGTAACCCCTTCCCCCGCCTTGTCGATCATCTTGAGGCAGGCAACGATGTGGAAGTGATTTTTCCAAAACTCTTTGAGAGTGAGGTTGGTCCCTTCAGTCACCAGAAAACAATGCTCGAAGAGTGCTTTAGTTTGGAACTTCTTAAACCTAGAAATAACTAGCTGGTCAATGGGCTGGAGTAACAGAGTGGTTGTTGGAAGGCAGAAGCTGGATCTTGATGAGCTTAAATTCTTCCGGGAGGTCATCTTGTAGGCCTTGAGGATTCATTCACACATGTCACAATATAACACAAGTTGTAGAAAATGTATGATTACAAGGGACACTACGATGCTACTGGAACGAGTGCTAAACACAACCTAATGTAACATGCACACAATTCGGGACTTCCCCTCTACTCACCACTCGTTATGCGAAACGTCTCTCGTTAAGCAAGTCAAGTTTTTATAATTATTTTTGCCCGTTATGCGAATTACTCATTAAGAGATGTGCTCGTTAAGCGAGGTTCTACTGTATTTAATTGTTGTGTAAGATACTATGAAGCTTGAAATTCAACCAAACATGTAATGTTTTACATTCACAGATACCAGCAGATTCTGCGATACCATATGGAACACTCGGAATATGTTCATGTGATTGAAGCTTGCAAAAAGTTTGGGTAGGTTTGGTTTACCTGCTAATGGATTAATGGATATACATTAGTTAACTCACTGGGCGTCTGCAGGGTAGGTAGTAAGCCACTTTGGTTGGTTGGTTTCAACTGTGGTGTTGAGAGCTGGCTGATCAGAAAGTAATGGCAAGTTACTGGACATAAAATTGTATAGTAAAATCACAAACAACCTAAAACTGGCTTGTTCTGCAACGTTCTGTAAATGATACGTAACTTTTTACCTTTTATTAGTTAAAATCCTGTATTGTTGTTAATATCTTAACTTTACTGCACATTATTTTTATTTACTTCTAATATTTCTGTCAGATTTTATGAACAGGTACTGTGCTTTTATTAACAGTCAACATCCATATATGCTTGCGTCTGCTGAGGAGAAACAGACCCTGTATCCTAAATCCTGTGATGTCAATTTTAGTTAACTTACTAAACTTTGCCTTTTAATATAGTCAGTCTTATAAGGAAAGATACTTTGGATTGTAAGTCATTAGTAAGTGGAAAAGGTCCTTAACTTACTCTTCCCTTTATTAATAATTGTGTAACTTTAAAATTGTAGGTGTGCTATATTAATTATCTTACTGTCTTTCACTAGTCAACAGGACCCTCAGCTGTGGGTGCAGGCTTTGTCTTACTTTGCTTCAAGAGAGGACACGTGCAAGCCTCAATTGATGGAGACATTATCTCGTATCCTTTGTTTCCACCATCAGTTCACTGATTGTAAATTCCCATGTGGGTTCCAGGGCTAAATTTTCTTTGGGGGGAATAGAGTCACTACTCCTTAACAAGCATGTCATAAAAGGCTATTAATTGAGGATTCATTGAAGTTAGATGTGTTTGTCTGAAAGGTACAGATACTACAGCCCGGCAATTCATGTGACGAACACCTTTTTAAGACAAACACAGAAGAAGAAGACTGATTATAAATATTGTTGCAGGAGGCTATAATTTGCTGGTCTCTGAACAGTTAAATCAAATTATTGTAGCTGGCCATTATAGAATAATTATTTTACGTGTAGTTTATCGGTACCTGCAACACATTAAAATTCAGTCATTTTTCCCCACACGATTTATGACATATTATTCTGTGTACCCGAATTTCTAGAGCCTCATTTTAACTTTCATGATATAAATGGGTTGCTGTGGTAGCATAACGGCTAAATGTTTGCCTGTCGGCCTGATAGTTTTGGGTTCAAACCAGCTTTAAAACATATTTCTTTTTGTAAAATTGACTTTGGCTCCCTGATAAGCCCATCATGAAATGGGTACCAGGTAATGTCCTGGGAAGTAAAGGTGGCCATCATGATGTTGACCACATCAGATTGGCTTATCAAAATATGTCTAGCACCATATACTCACTGCCTTTTTTTATTGATACCCATACCTTTATGGGGAGCCGCCATAGCGTAGTGGCTAGACGCTGCGGATTGAAAGGTTGTGGGTTTGCTCCCTGGCAGAGCCGGCCTTTTTAAAAAAAAAATTACAGTGGCTCCCAGGTCGACAGTTTTGAGTGGGTACCAGATACAGTCTTGGGAAGTAAAGGTGGCCGTCATGATGCTGATCACATTACCCATCTTGTGCTGTTGGTCTATAAAATATAGGTCTAGTCCTATATACCTAATATGCCTTAAAGGCATAGAAAAGGGTACTTTACTTTTATACCTTAATGACAGTACTATTTTAAATATTGCAATGGGAATAGTTCTTGATAAGACTTTTGAGCCAATGAAATTCAACAAAATAAAGCTATATTGATGTTACTTGTATACTCCTTAACATATGCCAGATATAGACAAGAAGAACTTGCTGCAGCCTCTTATGGTCGTCCAGATCTTGGTACACAACTCTACTGCCACTCTTTCAGTTGTGAAGGTCAGTCTAAACTTTTTTTTCTTGAGTTTAATAATTATCAACATCATTGCACTCTAGCATTAAACAGCAACCTCTTATTTTGAATTTCATTGACTTTAGGAAGGTTTTTGAGTTTACATAGAACATCACTGTGGGGAATTTTGGTATGCTATAGTAAGCCAGTGAAAATAATGAATATTATTAAGTTCAGAGTGTGCAGTGCGAACAGACAATGGTTTAAGTGATTGGTTTGAAGTTGAAACTGGAGTGAAACAGGGATGCATTTTATCTCATCTGTTAACAGCAATGACCTGCAAAGGAAAGCAGATGATTTAGCAAATATAGCATCATGGGTTGGACTACAAATAAGTTTTGAAAAGAAAAATATATTGAAGACACCAGCAACAGATCAAGCTAAAGTGAAACTAAAGATAAAAGTAATTCAAGTAACAGATAAATTTACTTATTTATAAATTCAAAGAAAGAAATGATGACACGCATTGCCAAAACATTAACAGCTTTCAATAGCTTAAACAAAATATGTAACTCTAAATTGTTTCATTTTAAAACCAAGTTACATATTTTCAATTCTAATGTTGTTTCATTTTTAAAAATATGCATGTTGGAAAACCAATAAAGACATGGAGGGAAAGTTAAATGCATTCAAAAACAAATGTCTGAGGGTAATTAAGAAAATAAAAAAAATAGGAGAAATGTCTGGGCCACCAGCTACTAGTAATAACATTTATAAGACAGAGAAGATGGCGCTACATTGGACACATCTTGGACACATTGGAATCGTTGCCGGAGCTATGGAGTTTGTGCTCTGTGTGATGCTCTTGGCAGGGAGCTAGGCATTCTGCGGAGAGGGACTGAGCCTTATGGGATAAAACCCATTGCAGTGAAATTGATCTTCTCGACTGTCCTTCCCATCACATGACCAAAGAATGTCTCTTTCTTGGCGTGGGCAGTCAGTTCTCTTTCAAGACATCTTCATTACTCTTTTTATCTGTCCAGGGTATTCTCATCATTTATCTTTAAAACCACATCTCTGCAGCTTTCAAATAATTATGTGTCAGAGTTGATTGAAGTACATTAGACAGAAGGTTGGGCATAAACATGACTACCAACGCCACACGGCATGGACTTTAGAGAGAAGAAGAAGAGAACCGTGTAACTAGAATATGTTTATTTTACACTGTAGCCTACAAGGGCATAGAAATAAAGGCATACCAGAAACACACGGAGAAGGTAGTTATAGTGAGTTAATCAAAAGATTATCCTCATTGCACATCTGACAAGTCCAGAAGCGCTTAGATTCCCATCTTTAGTACATCCCTCAGAGTGTGGTGACTGATAACACCAGTTCTGAATCGGTTTACTATTCTTCTTTAACCACCTGTATAGTGTTCATTTTTGGCGACACCTCTTTTGACCAGAAGTTCTTGTAGTTCTTTTTCTGAAATTCTTGTGTTTTGAGTGTTGCCGATTCAATCTCCTGAATCATCTTCTCATCCTGCCTCCTTGAAAGCATTAAGAATATCAGCCCTGCCAGCAAGCCAGTCAGCTCATTAAGTGTCTTGGCACAAAAATGAAACTAATTCCTTTCAGATAAGGTTCATCAACGACTCGAACCATTTCTTTGAATATATTCAGGGAGAAGGGAGTTAGTGAAGTAACTTAGTGTGGGCTACATGTAATAGCAAAGGATAGGATGACTTGATCTGAGTTGTTTGAAGAAGGCATGTGCTTCATTGGATATAAAGGACAGAAGAAGTAGAATATTGAGTTATTTGATCAGGTTTAAGGTTTGAACAACAGACCAACAGCATGGCACATGGGTAGTATCCTGTAAGTGCTCCGTTCTTCTTCTAACTCAAGTCTGAGTCCGAAAAAGCTCAGCACAGTGCACAGGCTCTGTAGCACCGATGAGGATCCTGAAATACTTTGGGTAGATTTTTAACTCCAAGGTGTGCAACAGTACACACGGGCATCCGATCTGACTACCCAGAGACCAAGGGGAATCACTAGAAGTCCAAGTCCACGTGAAAAAATTCCAGCCCTCACCAGGGATTGAACCCGGAACCTCCAGCAATTGAGGCGGACACCATGCCTCGAGACCACACAGCCCTATTTTAAGTGATTAATTATCAGTATATTTGTGTCTACAGTGGTACATTAATATCATTGTTTAGGACTATATTGTTCGACGTCTGCAAATGGAAAATGATCAGATAGCGGAGGATGAGCGCCTTATTAAGCAATACAGAGAAGACACTGAAAAGAAACGGGCCAAAATTGAAGAGCTGAGAACATCGTGAGTCTTTTCATTCTCTTTTTATCTTTTATCGTAAGTAAACATTAGAGTCCTGTGTTGAGTACCGCAATTTTTTATGTTTTAATGCTCAGAGTTGCTATTTATGTTATCACAATCATCGCCACTGCATATTGAGCATTACCCCTCTGATGCAGCAGCCACTCCAGGGTACCTCTGCTGATTGTTCCCATGAGAAGTTAGTTATATCACCTGTCTTTACCCTGAAGACGGCATAGACTTGCTTCAACAAGCTTTATTTACTCCAGATCATGCGGTTGCTAGTGTTACTCAAGCCTATAATAGAACCCATGTCTAGGAACTGAAACAACCTACCATCCACATGCTATATGTAATTAATCCTTTGTGATTAGGTTTTTTTTTGCTTATAAAATTTAGCATAAGTCATGCATGTCGGCTTCCGTGCCTTAGTTTTCAGGCTTTGCACCTTGCACTGGTTTCGACAGTGGTATCAAGAAGCTGACCATCCAGAAATCAGTGGCAAACTACTGGGCTTAATTTTGCATAGAAAGACCACAACAGCAGCAACAACAAAAATGCTGGGCTTGATTCTGCAACGTCCTGCATTTTTTGCACACAAATCAGTCCCACCAAAATCTGTTATGTAGATTGTAAGAAATGACTAAGGGAGTTTGGCATAAAACTGGTAACTGTATCCTATAGAAGAGTTGAGCTGCAAAATTCAAGTGGTTGTGAAAAAGTCTGCAAAGGACTGACTTGATATAAGTTGGTTGAGGGCCTTTGCTGCATTGGAAGATGAAATCTCTGTGTGGGTTCTGGAGACTTGGAGGGAGGGGGGGGGGGGGGGGGGATAGAACCACTCCTACTTAATAAGCATGTTGTAAAAGTCAACTGATTACTGGAATTTCCTTTGAAGTCAGAGTGTAGTTGCCTGAGAGGCAAGAAACCAACAGTCTGCATACAAATAAGCTGTACCTGTATTTAAAACAGCAGCTGCTGGGGAGGGAAAAGATAAAGAAACACGTGTCTAGAACTAAAACAGTTAAATCTATAGAAACATAACTATGAATGTGTTTGAATTTGAAATTTTATAAGCAGATTAATTCAGTGATGTTGGCACAATTTAGATATGAATTTTAAATGCTAGAAAAGTCTTTTATAGAAATGAATGTTGAAATGTTTTTCAGTTACAATGATAAACTTTACTTTTACAGAGCTAAAGTATTCCAAGCATCAAAGTGCAATATTTGCAGCCATTCCCTTGAGTTGCCATCCGTTCATTTCCTTTGTGAGCCTCACTCTTACCATCAGCAGTAAGACAATTGCTAGTTTATCTGGCATGTTATGTTTCTATTCCTCAGTGTTCAATAAAACTGCATTAGTTAACCCTTTGGAGGTGACTGAGTCACTCTGTCGGCCAAACAGCAAAATACTGGGGCGTTCTGTTAGCCAAACAGCAAAATGGCCAGAAGACGAATGGGCCAATCGGTCAGCCAGATAATACAAGCCTTGAGGTTGGCTGGCAGGTTTTCATACCAGTCAGTCAGATTGCTTCTCACATTTCTTCCACATTTGGGCTTTTCAGTGGTGGTTTCATGAAACTTAGTTATGTTCCGTAATTTTACAGTGATATTTTTTGTTAAGGGGAGGGGGGGGGGGTGCGCGCAAAACATTGGTGAAAAAAACTTTTGCATCTGTAGCAACTAAAACATATTAGGCAGCAGGAAAAGGAGTATAACAATGCACCAGAGATGTATGGAGGGCTAACATGAGCCTAGCTTCCCAAAACACAAATGTTAGGTCTTATTCAGGGTTCATCCATCAGAAAGTTAACCTAGATTACTTGGTTTGGTCATGTTTGTCCTAAGTTTTAAAAAAAAAAACGTTGCTTGCCTAAATATACAAATAAGGAAAGCTGTTTTAATTAAATGTTGAAATGTTAGTTTGATTCATAAAGATTGTATCAGTTCATTCAGTTTTCTACAAAAATATTTATAGTTTTTATATATGGTAATTCAACGCTTTAAAAAAAAAAAAAATTTTTATGTGTGTTAATTAAGAGAATCCCCTCGAGAAGGCTCCATCTTCTTGGCACTGGAATCTCTAAATGAGGCTCCATCTTCTTGGCACTGGAATCTCTAAATGAGGCTCCATCTTCTTGGCACTGGAATCTCTAAATGAGGCTCCATCTTCTTGGCACTGGAATCTCTAAATGAGGCTCGTGGAATCTTCTTAAAACTGGTAATCTCTAAATGAGGCTCCATCTTCTTGGCACTGGAATCTCTAAATGAGGCTCCATCTCCAAAGGGTTAATAGTGATTTTTTTTTTGTTTCATCATAGAAAACTCTAAATCTTCATCCCATCCTGTAGCACTGGATGTTGGTTGTAGAGACATCATAGTGGTAGTGTTAGTAATTAGAGTCACCCGTAGATATCTCTCTGTTTCTGTCTCACATATGTATGTGTATGTAGTATTGTGTTATGTTTGTAGTGCTGAGTTTTGTGTGTAGTGTTATGTCTGTTTGTATGTCTGTAATATAGTTTATTCAGTATTGTGTGTGTGCGTGTGTGTGTGTGTGAAAGAGAGAGGGAGAACGAACAAACAAACTTTATTTCCAGAGGGTGACAAATGGGACACGCAGGCCCGTATTACATTCAACCAGAAAGAGAAAAAATAGAAAGAGAGAGCAAAAAAAAAAAAAACTTCTTTTACATGGTAGATGACTGTATACAAACTATCTCACATATGTATAGTTTTATTTTATATTTCAAGCATATGGAGGAGAAGGAGAGAGAGAGAGAGAGAGAGAGAGAGAGAGAGAGAGAGAGAGAGAGAGAGAGAGAGAGAGAGAGAGAGAGAGAGAAAGAAATAGAAAAAAATAAAAACAGAGCAAAAAACAACAACTTCTTTAACATTGTAGATGACTATATATAAACTGTCTCACATATGTATATATGTAGTATTGTGTTATGTATGTAGTGTTATATGAGTAGTATTGTGTATGTTTGTATGTATATAATGTAATGTGTTCATTATTTTGTATTTGAGAGAGAGTGTTGGAGGAGGAGAGATAGAAAGAAAGAGAGAGGGAGAAAAAGAGAGAGAGAAAAAACAAACCACAGCTTGTTTTACATGGTAGATGACTGTATACAATCTGTTTCACAGATGTTTTGAGAGCTATGCAGAGAATGACATGGAGTGTCCAGTCTGTGCTCCTGAAAACAGGTAGAATTTGAATCAAAACATGTTACACTTCTGTTGTTTTGTTTTGTTTAAATATTTTTAATTGCTTTTATTATATTTAAAAGACATGATTTTGTGGTCATTGATACAATTTGATTTTGTGATAACTTTTATCTTGTATAAGATATGATTTGTTATTCATAATACATTTATGGAAAGTCATTAATTAATGTTGTAATAGGAATGTTAAAAACAACATAAGTTATAGATGTAGTTGTCAGGTATTGTTCTTTAACATTATTTGCTGGGCTATGAGACATGCTATAGGAAGGCATTTTTGTGGTCATTGATACATCTTCATTCTATTTATTTTTTTTTTCCTGAGGAAATTTACAAGGGATAATTCTACAGTGTACACATATATTGTATATATAATGATGCCTCGACTATAAGTTACCTAACTGACACATATAAGTGACCTATCACACATATAAGATACCTAAATGACCTGACACATATAAGTGACCTTATGACCTGACACATATAAATGCCCTGAAACATATAAATGACCTGACACATATATGTGACCTAACTGATAACATTTTTGTGGCTAACAACAGTATTTTTATTGTTTTCCGGCCTCAGCTTATGAATTTGGACTTGGCTAACGAATGTTTTTATTGGGTGTGTCCCATAATATAACACAGGCAGGATGTGAGCTCAATATTTGCACCATTGTATTTCAGCTAATGAAAATTTAGGCCAATGAAAGTGATTCTGGAACAAATTTATCTTTGTTAGCCAAAGTATAACTATCAACTAGAAATTGCGGAGCACTTATGGAAATATCTTTGTCGGCTTTGTGTTAATTTCGAAATGGTGTCAAGAGCCGACTGTTCCAAAAGCAGTGGCAAACGGCTCAGCGTAAAAATTGGTTAGGAAAACCACAAACAGCTAAAAATTGGTGGGGTTAGTTCTGCAACATCCTATAAAACATACTCAACACACTTTTTGTTAATCTGAAGTGTGAAAAATCTGTTGCTAATGGATAGTTTAACAGGTCTGATGGTCCTTGAAAATAATCAGTCAGTATTTTCCAGAAAAATTATGGACATAATTAGAGCCCAGGAGCAGTCGAAAGATATTCATGAATTCTTTCATAATCAGGTATGTACTATTATTTCTATCTGTAACATTCTCCATCTTTTGCTTTCTTTCTGTATCCTGTTGCCTTTCTATAACCAGGTTTTTTTTTAGCTTTTGAAAAAAAAAAAATTTAAAGGACCCTTATTACGCCAGTTGCTAGATCTGTATTTTAATAAACCAATGAGCACTTGATGGGTGGTTTTGCAGCATCACATTGGTCACCTTTACTTCCCAGCACATTATCTGGCACCAATTTTAGACTGGGTCAGCTAGGTTGGCAGAACATTTTTAACTCACTGAGAATTTGAACTCAAGACCTACTGGCCAAAGACCAACCATTACACTACCGCAACTCTCTCAGTAACTTTTACTGAACTAAACTAACTATATAGATCTTCCTCTGCACTGGAATTTAATCATAAAATTCCTGTGTGGGTTCTAGGGTCCCTTTTTAGGCGGAGAAAGAAATGACTCACTGCCCCCCTAACAAGCATGTCATAAAAGTCAATTAATTAGGGGGTGTTTCCTTTAGAGTTGGGGAGTTGCCGGAGAAGCAAAGTCTGCATACAAATAAGCCAGACCTGTAAAATGGATGTGCACTCAAAACTCAAGTCTAGGACAAGACTAAAATGCAGAAGTGAACGGGCAACCAGAACTTTCCACCGGAGTTTACAGCCGAAGAATGCCGAGAAGAAGAAGATAATCAAATAGACAGAGAGATGTCCCTCAGCCATTTGATTGGAATCAATCTGTGTGACTTGACTGGTCCTGGTTTTTTGGTGACTGCTACTGGGAGCTGTAGATACCTAAGTTGTTGTATTTTTTTTTATTATCACCTCATTGCAAATTTTTGAAAACAGAGTATTTTGACAAATCATTGAATTGATCAAAGATGCAAACAGCGGGGAATGGACAGTGAGAAGCAACAACAAAATTCATAATCTATTTGAATCACCATTGATCACTGGCATTATGAGATCTAATAGACTGAAATGGCTTGGGCATATTGAAAGAATGTCAGATGACAGAGAGGTAAAAACTGTACACACAAGGGAGCTGAATGATTGTAGACGAGGCAGACCAAGAAGATTATGGAGAGATAACATCGAGACAGACCTGCAAACACTTGGTGTCACCAACTGGAAAGAGAAGGCCAACCAGTGAGATGAGTGGAAGCAGGTAATATCTGCAGCACTGAACCTCAAGGGCTCGGAAACCTGAAGAAGAAGAAGATTGCTATCATGAAGGAATTGATTGTGACTGTAAAGTTTTAAATAAGTATAATAGCACTGGGATCAACCCTATAATTATTAGATGAGTATCTGTAATTTTTATTTTTTGGGGGATGTGCCTGCCAAAGAAAACCAGGAGAAAACTCATCTGGCCACCTAACCTTAGTTTGATTTAGCTTACAAAATAAGTGAATTATTTGACACTTCACCCTGATGGCACTATCTGCCATGTGACTGCCTTTAGCTTTGCTTGTTTGTATCGAGAGACTTTTGAGTCTTTCAAGTTCTGTGTGTCTTCTTCTTCTTCTTTTTATTCTTCTTCCTCTTCTTCTTCCTCTTCTTTTGCTGCTGCTCCTCCTCCTGTTTTTTCCCCAAAAAGGGCAGATGGCACATTGTTTTGTAGTTTACAGCTAGGCTGCGATATCTGCACATTTCAGCCTAATATATCAATTTCCACAAAGCCCTAATTAGTCACCTTTTACAACATGCTTGTTGAGTGGCAGTGCCCCACCCCCACCCAAATGGGGCCCTGGAACCTCCAGTTTTGACTACCAGTGCTTTGGTACTGGTTTGAAACCATGCAGATAGTGCATTTCAGCATGCATGGTTGCTGACAGATAAACAGGCACTTGGCTCTGCTTCTGGTTAAGGATGAAAAATAGTAGGCACCTCACCTCATAATGGTTTGACCAAATATTTGTTGAGTGCTTAATATAAATAATTGTAGCAATGATCTGCCATGGGATACCCTTCACCTTGTTCTCCTTGCATGAAGAAATGTTTGCTCATTATGTTTTTATTCCTCTCCTTTAGCTGGAGAGAGCTCCAGATGGCTTTTCTGTTGTGGCTGACTACTTTGGTAGAGGCGTTTTTAACAAGGTAATGTTTCTCATAAAATAAGACTGGATATTATATTCATTTAGGCGTTGCGAGTCTGAATCGTAATTCCAACATACCACGATTGAAACCCACTGCTGGCTGCTTGGATTTTTATCATGGTATGGGGCGTCCCAGGTTGATCCAGCCTAAAATGGGTACCAGGATGGGGAAGTAAAGACGGCTGGCATAATGCTGACCACATTATCCACCTAGTGCCAATTGGTCTGTAAAATAGTGGGATGCTCTTCCCATATGCCCGTTGTGCCTAAGGCATGAAAAGGGATCTTTACTTTTATTTATTTTATTTATTTCTGATTCTGAAGGCTTATTTTCCGGGGATGCTTGAGTAAACAAATATAGTTTACATTATAATTTATTTAAAGCGTTTATCTTCTCCATTTACACATTCATGACTGTAATTCTTCCTCAGAGTCAGAGTACATCTGCCGGTGAGGCAGGCACGACAAACAAATAAGCCAGTAAAACGGATGTACACGCAAAACTCAGGTCCAGGTAAAGTCCAAATGGACAAACTACCGGGACCTTCCGCCGGAATTTACAGCCGGTGAACCAAGAAAAAGAAGAAGAATACTCTGTAATTCAGTAAATTGGTCATGTGTATCAACAGTAAACAAAATCAGTTCATTTGGCTGGCAATCTCAACTAGGTTTTTGACTAGGACCAATAGATATATGTGATCTTTCTAAGGTTGTCATCACACTGGGGAGTTGCTGCAGGAATCTGACTAGTGTAGCCTGGGACATGGAGATAACGGCTATGATAGATCAGCATTTGCACCCAGAAGACGTCTTTATCTACACAAATGGGTCCGCGAAGCGCAGGTCAATTTTAGCAGGGCATATACAGCACAGCTTAAGAATGGAGGTGGAGGCGGTCACTGCAGCTTTCTGCTGGTTAGAGAACATGACACACACACATCGTGATTGTAACTGACTCAGAAAGCATGCTGAGGAAGGTCAGGACAGACATGCTTCACGCAGAGTGGCATGTTTCACTGCGGAGGACACGGTTGGGGAGTATTATCTGGATTTTTTTTCACCGGGGCACGCCGGTGTGTTGGTAAATGAACAGGCGGACAGACTGGCTGGCTCTGCACAACTTGGTGGAATACTGATGGCAGACGTGGTTAGTGCCTTGTGGGAGAGCGTGTACAGTTCGGAGGAGCAGATAGATCCCCACAGTCTGGTGGGATTGATGCAGCGGGGAGTGACGAGAGGTTCTGGCAGATGCTCGAGGCTCAGAGGAAAGGCAAGACGGACGTTTAATCAGAATGCTACTGGCACCATTAGTATCGGAACTCTTTACTGGCTGCTGAGGGTGGGGATGGAGCGCTTATGGGAATGCCCTGAGTGCTGTGATGTCGGTTCTTGAATCAACTCAACTCATACAGCACAAAGGATTGTGGAACTCAGTAAAAGAGGATATCAGCGCTTACCAGACAACTACATCAAGTATGATCTTGAGGACAACCTATGCTTCCAAAGCACTACCACAGGTAGCAGAACAAGCCGCCACACATGCAGTAATTGTTTCAGACTCCGTGTGAACATGCTTTAGAAAATTGTAACAGGTAGTATGCACTCTGAATGGATTAAAATACATTTGGAAATTGCTCTCAACCTCCCTCACCTGGGTCTGCACACCTGGTCATGCTGGCGTGAAAAGTAGTGAGCGAGCGGACCAACTGGCAAGCATTGCACCAATGCATGTGGAAAGAAGCATGGATAAAGCATATATCATCAGCGCTGCACAGACTGGGCTAATGCATAATAGTGAATTGCATTGTGGAAGATATTAGGTCCCCACTACATAATTATTGGAATCGGACTTCAAAAATGACCTTAACTCCCAGGTCGACCCAGCCTTGAGTGGGTGCCGGGTACAGTCCCGGGAAGTAAAGGCGACCGGCTTGATGCTGACCACATCACCCATCTTGTGCCGATTGGTCTATAAAAATATAGGTCTCGCCCTATATGCCCTTTACACCTAAAGGAGTGGAAAAGGGACCTTTACTTTTTATTAACTGACATAATTATTAGTGTTACTTTGCAGCCAGCCTCTGTTTTAGAGATGTCACTAATGTGGGGGAGGAGGGTGGAGACAATATTGAGAAAATGCATTTCATTAGCAGTTTAGAAGTAGTTTCTGATGTAAATATATGTTTATGTATATATATTTTAGGTAACCCTGATCACAGATCAGCCCAGCAAGGCAGGAACTGACAGAGGCTCAAGATAGTGATGTTGACTCATTTAACTAAAATAGTATTGTATCACCTAACTTACATTACTTTCAGAATGCATTTATGTAGCAAAACTGGCAGAAACAAATTTGTGATAATATAAAATATGTAATTGTTTATGAGTCTGTGTTGCTGTATTGTACCTGTTTATGTGCTGATACATACTGATTTATATAAATGTCTGATTTAGAGAATTATTTATGCTTTGACCTATTTACTCCAGAGACAAATTTTAAAAAATTAAAATAAAAAGAAGCTGGGACCCACTGAAATTCCCTAAAAAAATCAAAACAAAACTCAGGTCACTTTTACATTTTTAAAAAAAATGTATTTATCTGCAGTTTACAAAAAATGCAAAATATATTAAAGGGGTAATCAATAAACACGAACAGTGTGAAAAGTTAAATAGAGTACATTCGTCTGGGTCTAACCAAATGAATATGTTGACTCATACTGCGACCTCATTGGAATTCTAACACTAAACCTAAGTGCAAATTATAACATCCAAATGGCTTAAACAAAGCCATTTTGTTCACCAAAAATAAATGCTATTTTTAGTAAATATAATCATATCTGGGCCTCTTAAACACTGTGCAGGTGCAAACCTAACACAGCACCATCAGCTAGGCTTCTCTCATGGACAGGCCATAGTAGAAATGTTGGATAAGCAGCTTCTCTGGGCCACAGAATTAACTTGTGATAGGAGAGGTCATATGATGATATCAGGAAACGGCATTACTAAGTTTTCTGGGCCCTGCCTGCCCATTTACACACTGCAAAGCATTTCATTCATACTGGGTCAGCCAAGTCGACTTCTGCAAAGGTGAGAGTGGTGTCGCCCTAGCTGTGTCCGATCGGCGTCTCTTTATGATACACATTTACGACTTTAGGACATCCACAACAGTCTACTGTGACGAGACCTCTATACTAAAGCAATTTTGGAATTTTAACGAATGCATAAAATCTCTGCTGGACCTAAACCAAACCCCTAAGTCCCACGAGACAGTGCATTCTATGTGTCGCTGCAGACCTACCCTCTGCAATAAAATCATTGCCGTTAGCGCTGATAACTCCAGCAGATTCATATCCTAGTTGTTGAATCCTAAACGCCACAATATCCGCAGTTGTGTGAGAATAGCGACTTCACACTAACACAACGTGTAACTTTCTGCACTCCAAAATATATGCAAGAGAGACATCTGACACCCCTGGCATTTTCAATTCAGTGTCTGGCAGATTGAGGCAGAGACTTACCGTCCAATCACAGTCTCCTGTCCCCTGTCCACCAATCATATGTGGGTGGGACAGGGCATCGCCCAGAAAACTTAGTTGTACCTAGGAAACATCTACATTAACTCTTAAAAGGGTAGTTGGCATGTTGTGGTGTGGTTTACAGCTAAGCTGCAATTTCTGCACCTTTTAGCTAAACACATCTGATTTCAGTAAACTCCTAATTGACGTAAGTAAGTGGTGCCTGCAGTCGAGCAGATTGCAAGAAATTAAAAGATATAATTTGTTTACTTGTGCTTGTCTCTGTATGTGGAGACAGTTGATAATGTGTAAAAAATTGTATGTTTTTTGTTGTTCTTGTAGACTATTTCTATTTCTTGAAGACATGTTTCAGTATTTTGCTAGCAGTCTATTTTAACAAGTTAACTGTCTGTGGATTTGATTGTTTTAACTGTCTTTGGCTTTGATTGTATAACGTGTTTATCTCTTACTGCCTAGAAAAATCCATTAGATGACATTGATTATTAATAGTAATTGTATAATTGTTAGTGTATATTGTTTAAAGTCTTTTTAATTGCTTTAAATTTGGAATGATTGCAAATAAAATAAAAATGTTTCTAGTTTACTGTTGTGTGTTAGTGAACAGGGCCAATTGAATTTCTCTACCAGGGTATACAGATTTCAGCTCAGTTTATTTGTCTTAACAGTGTCAGTTATCTTTCTTTGTTGTTCAATGACAACAAATATACTAACTTGTATGCAGGGTTTATTAATATCAGTAAATGGCATCTTTTCAAAGTAAAATGAAATAAGGACCCGCTTCTGTGTGATAAGTGGTGGTATGCAATGTTATACCGTACCGGTACCTTTTTAAGGCAGGTTTTTTTTTTTTAAAAGCCCAGGTCAGGTTTAAAAAAAAAAAGCAATCCTATCTTTGAAGTTGATTCAAACCTGAATTGTCCAGACCAGCATGGAGGTGTGCTAGCCATTACACCACCATGCCTGGGATGTTATCGCAATCAACTTCATTGCACAATGGGTACTTCTGTATGTGCTCAGTCCTCGGATGCAGCAGCCATTACAAGCTATTTCTACTGACTGTGCCAATGAGAAGTTGGTTGTAGTTTCTACTGTCTCGGCCTCGAGGATAGCATAGCTATACTCCCAAGTCACTCAGTTAACATCAGAGATTGCTAATTGTCTACACTTCCTGTTTTAAAAGACTTGATGTTTAATTCACTGAGGTTAGCAGTAATTCAAACCTGAAATTTAGTTGCATATTTATGTTCTTTCATAAAAGTTATGTACAGCATAACATAATTTGCACACTTTAGTCAGTTATGAACTGACTCTGTGGAAGTCAAAGTGAAAGTTGGAAAAATTAATTTTTTCATGAATCACCATTATTAGGTTAAATTAAATATCAGCCTGCCTGTTTTCTGTTAGCTGAGGTAAATGCTTATAGTAGTTATGTTTGTAAAACTGTATGAAACACACTATTATGCTT